CAAAAAAAAAAAAAAAAAAGAAGAAACAGAGGAAGCTTGGAATATGCAATTATGCTTCAATCAGCTTATTGGAGTTTGTTGCTTGTATGGTGTGTATTCTTTCCCCTCTAGAATTCCAACTTTCCAAAGTCCATATTATTTCATGTTGCAAAAAAAACCTATCAAACAAAGTGCTAATCTGCTATAGAAATCCAAATTATAATTGTAACCACCAATGCTTCTCTTTAGACCTCATTACAACAAACTTGCAGAAGTCAAATTTAGGCAAGCTTCAATTTTTTTGAGATACCCACAAATTCTGTTTGAAACCCAGAATTTATATCACTTCCATGGACTTGCTTATGATCCCCAAATTCCAGTTGGTGATGCGAAATCTAAAGTGGGATACAATGCACACCAACTGTTCGATGAAAGCCCTGAGCGAAATGTTGATATGTACCATCATTTGCTCTTTGAATATTCTCGTAGTAACAAGAACGCGGAAGCTATGAATTTATTCTTGGACATACATAGGTTAGGTTTGGTCGACAATGGATCGAGCCTCTCTTGTGCACTGAAGGTTTCCGGTGTTTCAAACAATAAGATTGTTGGAAAACAGTTGCATTGCCATTGTATTAAATCAGGCTTTGCGGTGGATGTTAGTGTGGGTACTTCTCTAGTTGATATGAATATGAAATTTGATAATGTGAAGGATGCAAAGCGCGTTTTTGATGAAATGGAGGTTAAGAATGTGGTTACATGGACTTCGTTGCTGTCCGGATATGTGCAACAGGGATTAGTAGAAGAAGCATTAGAGGTATTCATTTGTATGGGAACGGAAGGGATTAAGCCTAATCCTTTTACTTATGCAGCTGTATTCGGGGCGTTGTCAGATTATGACATGATTGCCAAAGGAAGTCAAGTTCATGCAGAAGTAATAAAGAATGGTTCTAAATTTTATAATCCAGTGTCCAATTCCTTAATTAACATGTATGCAAAGTCTGGAATGGTGCAAGAGGCTAGAGATATTTTTACAGGCATGGAAAGCAAGGATGTTGTTTCTTGGAATGGTATGATTGCAGGTCTTGTGGCAAATGGGCTTGATAAGGAAGCTCTTGAGCTGTTCCAGAATATGAGGTTTGAAGGCATTCTGCTCACACGGCTTATCTATGCTACCATCATTAAAGCTTGTGCTAGCATAAAGGAATTTTCTCTTGCGAGACAGCTCCAGTGTCAAGTGCTTAAGAGTGGATTTGACTTTGATGTAAATATAAGGACATCTCTTATGGTTGCTTACAGTAAGTGTGGTGACATGGATGGTTCTTTCAAGATGTTTGAGACAATTCGAAAAAGTCAAAATGTGATCTCCTGGACAGCCATGATTAGTGGGTACTTGCAGAATGGTGGAAAGGAAAAGGCAGCTTATATTTTTATAGATATGAACAGGATGGGAATAAGACCAAACGATTTCACTTATTCTGCTATCCTTACTGCTCATCCTTGTGTATCTCCATATCAGGTACATACGCATATAGTCAAAACATGTTATCTGGGCTCTCCAAATGTTGGGACTGCTCTCCTGGATGCTTATATCAAGACTGGAAATGTAAATGAAGGTGCCAAGGTGTTTGAAAACATAATTCAGAAGGATATTGTGGCATGGTCTGCGATGTTAGCAGGGTATGCTCAAGTAGGGAACACAGAGGGGGCTATCAATGTCTACCGCCAGTTATCAAAGGAAGGAATTTGTCCAAATGAGTACACTTTCAGTAGTGTCATCAATTCATGTGCAGCCCCTGAAGCAGCAGTAGAACAGGGCAAACAATTCCATGCTTCCTCTATTAAATTTGCATACAACAACTTTTTGTGTGTTAGTAGTGCTCTTGTTACAATGTACTCAAAGAAGGGTAACGTTGATAGTGCAAACAAGTTATTTAAAAGGCAAGAAGAAAGAGACTTAGTTTCATGGAACTCGATGATTTCTGGATATGCACAACATGGTTATGCGCACAAAGCTCTTGAAGTATTTGAGGAAATGCGAAGAAAAAATATAGAAATGGATGGGATTACATTTATTGGTGTAATTTCTGCCTGTACTCATGTTGGACTATTGGAAGAAGGTCAAAAGTACTTTGACCAAATGGTCAAGGAGCATCATGTTTATCCAACCATGGAACACTATGCTTGTATGGTGGACCTTTATAGTCGAGCTGGGATGCTTGAAAAAGCCATGAACTTCATAAATAAGATGCCATGTCCGGCTGGGGCAACAGTGTGGCGGAGTCTTTTGGGTGCTTGCCATGTTCGGAGAAATGCAGACGTGGGAAAGGTTGCTGCAGAAAACCTCATATCAATTGAACCTAAAGATTCTTCAGCCTATGTTCTATTGTCAAACATATATGCAGCTACTGGAAACTGGAAAGAGAGAGCTGAAGTCAGGAAGTTGATGGATCTCAGAAAAGTGAAAAAGGAAGCAGGTTACAGCTGGATTGAAGTCAAGAACAAGACTTACTCTTTCTTAGCTGGTGATCGTTCTCATCCATTGTCAGACCATATATACGCAAAGCTTGAAGAGTTGTCTACTAGATTGAAGGATGCAGGATATAGTCCAGATACCACATATGTGCTTCATGATGTGGAAGATGAGCACAAGGAAACTATCTTGTCTAAACACAGTGAAAGACTGGCCATAGCTTTTGGACTTATTGCAACTCCACCTGGCACTCCTATCCAAATTGTGAAGAATCTGCGAGTCTGTGGGGATTGCCATGCTGTTATTAAATTAATATCCAAAATTGAGGGACGGGAAATAACTGTTCGGGATTCAAATCGTTTTCATCACTTCAAAGGAGGATTGTGTTCATGTGGTGACTTTTGGTGACATTCAAGTTAGGCCAAAGCATGTAGGATGGAGGCTTTATGCGTTTTCCAGTTGAAGAACGAACTTCCAATAACTCAAGACTTGACTAGTATGAAATTGCATAACCATCACCTTCTCTTACAAATGTGAACTTTTTGCAGAATACTCATTTATTTTAGGGTAAATATGGCTGCCGCTAGACCTCCCTGAACTTTGTATCAAATAGCATATTTTCTGGAAGGTGATAGTTGCTTCGTGTTGTTGGGGCTTAACCTTCAGCCTATGCAAACACAACTCAATCTGTATGATGTCTTCTAAATAGATGTTTGCAAAAATGCTTTGGCTGGCTTGTTATGCTTCTCTATTTCCATGCTGAAAAGGCAGTCAAATTTTACTGAGCTTGTAATCCTGGATGATTGAGGTATTTGCAGGCTGCAGCTCAACTTGTCAATCAAGGTTTGTTACATGTTTTTTTTATGTATAAACCCTCTATTCCGTAAACCCTCAGATATATTTTTATTGATTATTGTCTATCTATAGGTGGAGGAGCAAGGAGAACTTTACATCAGAGTGTAGAAGAGTTTCTTCTTTAGAAGTTCCAGCAAGGCAATTACTTGCAGAATGCCTGCTAAACTGTAAAAATCAATGTTTTGACTAATCGGGAATTCTCTCTCTCACTGATTCCTGAAACAGAAAGTTTGCATGCAAGAATGACCTAGAGATGGTTAAATGCCGCTTTCAGAGCATGACAGCATAGCTAACAAACCTGTTTTCAGAGTACGTATGGGATTAGGAGATGTTTTTAGCATCCTCAGGAGCTTGTCCAGGAAAGACTCTCATGGATATGGATAGGAGCAACTGAACATCAAAGCTCTATATCATCCCATGGAGGGTATAGAGTTCAAGGTTTGCCTACATTACATTTTTAAGAGTGATATACCCATAAAACAATGAATTCTCCTTCAAGTAAATGGTTGATATTTCATGCCTTATCTAGTACTCCCTCCGTTCAAATTAGTAGTCACAAAATATATCTCCTAGCATGCCGCTACATAAAAATTTAATATGGGTATTATATTAGCTATTTATAGCATATCGTGCCATATTGATCATGGGATGTATTCCAGGGGTGTAATTTATTCATAGCAATCCTGTTAGCACAATGGAGGATTTAAGAATTGGATTAGAGACCAGAAATAACTTTAAGTCATATGTATCATTGATTGGCCCGGTTGTTGCTCAAGTAATTGTAAGCAATTTGAATTTGTAGTATTTTTTAACTTCACACAATTATCTAATCGGTAATATTTAAAGATTACATACGTCAAATAATCACTTATGGAATTTATGCTTTGACGTCAATTGGAGATGAATGTTTTGATTAGAAGAAATTTTTTACTGATGATTGGAGCTAAACTTTCTTTAAATCAAATTCATTTGTAGTTTTTTAGCTTTTACCTTTAGCTATAAGATTCAATTATTAAATAGGGATGTGATCAATTATTTAACAAAATGGTATATATCAATTGGCAAGTTCGCAGAGGTCGGGCCTCGGGGATGACAGAATTGTACATGTAAGTCTTTAGGTTTTAGAGAGAGTAGATTTCACCAGAAAATATAGATGACAGTGAGATCTCTCAACCCTTTTCTATGAAAGCATTTGTCTTTCTCGGGACTGTCGGGTGGCCTGCAAGGTCACAGAGATGATCAGGCATACGTATGTCCGCCGTATGCGCTACTGATTGGACTCTTGAGTCCACTACAATGGTGATTGTAAGCAATAGATGCAAACAAGTTTAACCAAGTTTAATGAAACTACTCATATAACTATTGTACTACGTATATTTGTATACCTTCCGTGTCAAAATTCATTGACCTAGTTAAACTAGGCAAGCTGCGTTTGATTGTTTAATAAGGAAATATATATTAGCATATAGTACAAAAAGTTTAATTTATAGATATATTATTACTAATTTAGCAACCGTTCATAAGATAAAACTTCGTGATTCGACAATACGGGCAAAGTTATTATATGAACAGTGTCACGTTGTGTCAGTTGTTCAAAATGTAAGAAACAAAGAAACTACGAGGTATATTGATACCAACAATATTCAGATAAATCAGACTGATGCACTGTTTTGCAAAGACTTTTGAAGGAAAGTGAAAAAAGAAACAAAACTTACAAAGTCTGTAATTAAAGATTGGATGTATCATGTATTACTTACAAAAGATTGTCAAACATCGAGTGCCAAGCAGGCTACTTTTGATACACAAATTAATGAGCAACAACTTAATGCACAATTATAGGGCCTTGTTTCAACCACAGACAAAACAATTTCTTCGGATATCAAATATCAGAGTAATCGAAATACAAGAGGAGAGCGAATTACGCCATAGCTCTTTTACAAGAGGCAGGGAGAGTAATCCTTTGAAAACAATACCAAGAATTAAATTACGAAGTTATGCAACCTCCTCGTGGTGACATGGCAACCTTCCTTCAGAAAAACTAACCTTCCTCTCCAAACTCTTGTGTAAATCTCTCATGAACCTCAAGGTCTGATTTGCTCACAGTTGGCCTCTGCCGGGAGAGTACTTTTTCAAAATCTGTTCTTGTAATCGGTGGCGGAACAATCTGTAACGAGGAATAAAATGCATTAAAACTCACACCAGATAACACATTAGACCTTTGTCTTGTGATTAGCAAAAGCAACTATAACAGCATAAAACCATGTCATGACTTGCAAATTGAGTGAAAATATCTTTAAAATTAAGAAAAGGGAGGGAAAAAAATGGAAGTGCATCCACAGAACAACAGCCAGCAATTTAAAACTTTGAATGAAGTACAAATCAGCTTGAGAAACTAGCATGTTTCTTTCATAGGCAATTGAACTCAAATTTGTTATTTCATGCTCTAGAGCATCACATGCTTTCTAAAAACTTCCAGTACCCAATAGATTTGAGGAGGGATAAACTATCGTTTTAAATTTTCTGTCCGAAAACCTTTATCAACAGAAAAAACGATATTTTTAATACTCCCTCCGCCCGCAATTATCTGCAACATTTACCTAAAATGGGTGCTCTCTATTATCTGCAACAAATTTTTTTCTTTCCTTTTTTGGTAATATTTAACTATTAATTACCCACTTTTTTGGTTAGTGGTCCCCTCCACCACCTATTACCCACTAACTAAAACCCACTCAAAACAAAATTAAGTGGGACCACTCCTTTTCCCTCCATTTTCAACCTTAATTAAACCCACCAAAACTCAATTAAAACTCCCCTAAAAGTTTTGCCTAGGAGTCCGCAAACATGTCCTTTGGTGCAGATAATCCCGGGCGGAGGGAGTATAAAGGATTAGACACCAATTTAGAAGTCTAATTGCTTGAGTATATTTATAACCAATATAGAGTAAGCCTCAATAATCAGCTTCTCCTACAGAGTATAAGCAAGAAATGATGACAGCTTTCTCGATGTTTGAATTCAGCGCATACCTTAGCAGCAAGTCCTTCTGCTGCAAGATCCTGCATAGTAGTTTGGACAGCACCTGGCTGCCTAGGTCCACAGGGCACCCACACATCATCTTTTGTCTTAAAGAAGAACATTGCATCTTGGGTTTTACGAACAGGTTCAAAAAGTACATCCTTGACCTGTGAAAAGGCATTAAATATATTGTACAATAAGACAATATAAAGGAACTAATATTAATATTTCCCAAAAAAGAGGGACACTAAATGCACAAAATTTAAGATATAGAAACCAGTGTTTGTAGAGACTTACACAAACAGCTATATCTGAACCAGAGAAGCCCTCTGTTTTACGAGCTAAGAATTCAAAATCACTCTCAGTCAGGTTGTGAGGGGTATCCCCAAGATGAACCTGAGTTCACAAAAGAAAATAAATTTAATGAGCAGAATTTTTCTTTAGCAAGTAAAGCAGAGCATGTCTCCAAATAAAGAAATGGCTAAGAAACTACAAGGCAGATAGAAGAATAAAAGCATTTAAGAACCTTAAACATATGCTGCCGAGCCTTTTGATCTGGTAGGGGAATATAAATACGCTTGTCAAAACGCCGCCTAATAGCCTGCAGATATCATCCATTTAGAAATATAGGTACAGCAATCCCTCAGTACAAAGTAGAAAGGGATGTGGATGTAGAGGTACCTGATCTAGAGCATACGGTGTGTTTGTTGCAGCAAGAACAAGAACTTTTTCATCGTTGTGTCCAACACCCTAGGGAATGTTGCATCAGAAACTTAAAGTTTAAAATTTCAAAGTTAAGAACAGAAATCAACAATACTTTCAAATCAACAAGCAAAAATAATCAATGGTGTGTTACAAATTTACAATACAAGTCAGGCCTTGATACATGCAGCTCATCCAAATTTAAAGACAGGGAGGGTGAGAATCAAAAGAACAGATGATAGAAGGATTAATTACCAGATACTTTTTCATCACAGTAATTTCACTACACCCTGCCAAGTGAAAGCCTAAATGCTTATTTAATTAACATCAAAATCATCTTTGATTATCCTATCTTCAACAAACAGATCTAAATCTTTGAACTCGATGCTAGTAGAAATTGTAACAATATGGGAGAAACACCTTCCTGATTCCTACACATTACTTCCCATGTTAAACCAAACAAGCACTCAACATGATTTCCTAGTAAGGTTTCCCCTTATTCAATGATCTCTTACAATTCTCTCTCTGATCTTCTATTACTGGATCACTTAGCCAAATTGGGAGTTCAAACTTCAAAGCACACATGGAGGCAATTTACTACTTCCTCCGTTTCAAATTAGATGACATGTTTCTTTTATCACGTTTGCCAACACAAAAATTTAATCAAAAATATTTGCAATTATACTTTTTGTAAAAAAAATACTAAAAATTTAATTTTAATTAAGAACACATTGAAACGAATCTAACAAGATTGAGGCACCACTATGTTTTTTCATATCTATAAACCACAAATGTTAGTCAAAGCAAAGTTTATGAATAGTGTCCTAAGTAAAACATGTCAACTAATTTGGAAAGGAGGAAGTATGTCAGAAATTGACAGAAAGCAAGTAGGTACAGACAATCTAAATAAACATTATAATAAAGGTATGATAAATTTGATAAATATGGTTCAGATTGAGATACATCATTTGCAAATTAATTTCTCATCACTAGAATTTTTCATAGCAAAAAACAACATTGCCCAGAATGACAAAGCAGATGAAAATAAACCAACACAAAGACAAGTCAGTCGTTAAATCTCAGAAGAGTCAGAACAAAATATTTGATTAGCTACTTTTCATGTCATAAGGGAAAATGGTTGGGGAATGGGAAAAGGAGCACATGCCAGCATAGAAAAACAGATTTATCACGAATATAGCAAATCAGCAAAGCTTACAACATGAAAGAATTATCTAAATGTCAAACAAAGTGAACGTAAAGCAAAATAACCTGCATTTGCACAAGGAGTTCTGTCTTGATACGTCTGGAAGCTTCACTTTCATTTCCTTCTCCTCGTTGACCACATAATGAGTCTATTTCATCAACGAAGATAATCGAAGGAGCACTCTCACGGGCCATTTGGAAAAGATTGGAAACTAACTTTTCACTTTCACCCATCCATTTGGATACAAGATCTGAAGATGATACACTAGAAAAAGAAAAGGAAATAAAAAAGGAGTTGAAACTTAATTCAAATTTTTTTCTTGAGTAGAACTAATGTGTGCTAGATTCTAGTTGATACCACATAACAAAACACAGATTGAGTGATGCAGCTGTAGCCAAAAAGCTAACAGACAATTAAAAAAAATGTGGCACAAAGTGACAAGCATTAAGCCAGAGGGAAACATTAATGATGAGAACGAGAAAATAAGAAATAGATCATACGCAATAAATGAGCAGATAAAACTGAGATCCTTCCCGTCTTTTACTTTGTTATCTAGTGAACCAAAGCTACAAGATGCAAGGTACTGCATCTGCTCTTGAATTTCACCTGGAGGGACTATATACAAGCCATTTTAATTATAGAGGGAGAGCCATTCTTAAAAAAACCATACATGTTTTCAATAGGAGGAGCTAGATCTTGAGAATAAGTACACAGAACAACGATGATAACAAGCACCCAGTATTAATCCCAGATAGCAAGGTTGAGGGAACAACTTATCCTAGTAGAGTAGTAGTTAAAGACTACTTAAGAGGGTTATTTCTTATGTGCCTATTTACCGTAGATGAACTAGTACAGTAATTCAGAAGCAAGTCAACACTTGACAAACTATAACTAAATTTAGTATAAACTCTTTATTTTGACCATATTAACAAACACACACAGCCCATTGACCGTCGTTTGTGATATGAACATAAGAAAACTATCAACTTATCATAATTTTTACTTATTGATGCACTTTGACAAATGTGAAAGTCATAACAAGAAAACAAAAGGCTAAACATGCCTGGCTCCACCAAAAGGTAGTCAAGTTTTCCAAAGGACATAAAACAACTAAAAAATACATCTACATCTTAATGAGATAAATCAGAGCACAATATATATACCTATAAAATGTTGAGTCAGCTTCAGTTGCAACAGCCTTGGCCAAGTATGATTTTCCTGTTCCAGGTGGTCCATATAGAAGAAAAGCTCTCCATGGTCGTCTTTTACCTATAAAGGTTAAGACCATGAGCTATTAAAAATTGGTTTGTGAATACTTGCCACACAGCGCGATTGCGCGAATGATAATCTCATAAAATCAGCTGGGAAACACCAAAAATCAACATAAAAAGTACACCTCGGCACTCTTTACGGTGAGCACCAGCTAAAAAGGCAAGCACTCTTTAAGATATGGTCTCATATTCTAAAAAAAGCAAGCACCCTAAATAAATGCTAAAAAGACGAATATTCACACATACTAGTTAATTTAGCAAGTAAAAATCAATCAATAACCATTGACAAGGCACAAGCTAACACCAGAAAACCAACGAAAACTTATTATTACACACATGGCACTTCTAACAGGCTTCCGATCTCCATGAAGAGGTAACAACTTCGAATTTGTATAAACTGAAGAATCAAATATGACTAAAGGACTATTTGGCAAAAGTAATCTTTATTAGTTAAATTAAACAATGAGTGTTCAATGAATTAGCTGTTGGGTTAGTTAAAAAAAATTATATATAATATATTACCAGCTATAGCTACTTCTACCTCCAAATCTACATTTTTCAGTAGCTCCAAAAAAACTACCTCAACAACTAACAGCTAACTTAAGACACTACTTCACTAAACACGAATTTTCACCTTAAGTAGGGTCAAAAGACACAAAACTAAAGAAGCTAGTTGAAAAGCTGTTCAACATGGCCAAAATCCCTAAACTTGAAAGGATGAAAACCTGTGTCCAGTGAACAGCCACCTAAAGTGAAAAAAAGTTTTCTTTGACCAATAAACTACTTCTCGTGAACAAATTCCTTGTCCCATTCTTCTCTAACGATGATAAAATAAACCATACCCATCAAAAAGTCGAACACAAGAAGTGAGCCTCATATAAGGGTTTCCAAGTTTGACTCAAAATTAAAATACGTCAAATAAAGCCTAAAAGTTTGGTCTGATTTAGATAAGGTCTAATTAGTTCGAATGAGGAGTTTTAATGTTAAAAAGGACCAAGGCCTTATAATCCCCAAACCGAAACAACAAAAGGAACTACCAATAGCCAAATATACACCATAATTTGAAATTATTCTCAAGCAACTATCAACAGTTACAATTAAAATCGATCTTGCATTCTCCAAATCATGGAGAAAAATCCCCCACACTGTGACCAGTGATCGTTAGTGAAACCAATTAACACAAATACTACAAGTATAAAAAGATCAAACTCTCATTCATACCACTTAAAACTTCAAATCATACCCAAAATCAGCATATCTCAACAACCCAAGCAACAAAATTATACAACAGCCTCAAATCTTATGAAAAACCCAAAAGAAAAGAAAATTCCAGCCGTCAAATTCTGACTTCCACAGCATCATAATTTATCGAAATTCATCAATCATTGAAATAATAGAGAATCAACACCAAATTATCATACTTTCCGAATCATCAAACACCCAAAATTCAATACCAAAACCAACAATTCTCAAACAATTGCAAAATCAAATTGTGGAGATATAAAATAAAAAGTGCCAAACTAACCGGTGAAAAACTGTGGGAATTTAACAGGCAATATAACAGCCTCCTGCAAAGCTTGCTTAGCACTCTCCAATCCAGCAACATCACTCCACTTTACATTAGGCTTTTCTCTGATGATCGCCGAATTAAGCCCGGAGCGCAACTTAGCCTGCTCAGCATCCTCTCCATCCTTATTCTCCCCGTCCTTGGACTTCGCCTTCGGCCGGGCCGCAACAGCCGCATCGACGCCATTAGAAGCAGGCCCAGCACCTCCTCCTTCGTCGAGAACCGTTCGAATCTCCTCAGCTCGACGGAGATATTCAGTGAATTTTTGAGTAATTGCTTCGCGAATTTTAGGGTTTTTCTCGTACTTCAAGTGAGTCTTAAAATACTCCAATGCATTCATGTAAAGAGGGAAAGCTTTGGCGTAATTTCCAGCATTGTCTTCTTGTACTGCTTGTTTAACGTACTCGATCGCTTGTTCTTTGAAATTGCTGTACATAATTGTCGAATTTGATTAAATTGGATTGGGTAAATTAGGGTTAGTGATGCATAAAGGCGATGATCCGATTCGATTCGATTCGATTGAATTGAATTGATTTTGATTTATGATTGATCGATTGTTCGTATTGTGCAAAGGAAAACCTAGGAGAGAGAAATTGGAGGTTGATGATGAAGGAGAAGATTCAAAAGAAGGTGACGCGTGAGAAAGACGAGGAATTTGCAAAAGGGTGCAACGCGCACCCTTGTGGTGGTAGAATGACAGATTTAGGAAGGTTCTTTCCTTTGATACTTTCATTGGGTTTTTATCTAATTTTTGGATTTTGTACACCTTGGAAAAAATTAGGAGAGTATCATGATTAAGTTAAGTAGCTCAATCATGATTAAGGCATTAAGCTAATTCTTGGATTTCCTACAAGGGGATTGCATTCAGGTTTAGTTTAATTAGGTCATTACAAGTGTTGAGTCATATTGAGTGAATTTAGTCCTCAAGTTGGGTTTGGTTCGAGTTAGGTTAAATTCGTGTGTTGTGTCGGGTGATTATCCTCTCAATCGTGTCAAGTTTGATTCAAGACAACTTCAAATTGGTTTTATTTTGGTTAGGGTTATGTCGTTTCGGGTTTATAGCAAGTTTACGGTGGATAATTCAAGTTTGAGGCATGTTCGGTCGAATAATTATAAGGTTAGATAAAATTCAAATCGAGTCATTATTTTTATTTGGGTCGATTTAAGTTCGGGTTTGATTAACATATATTAAGTCGGGTCAAGTCAAATCAATATCAATACTTAATAACATGTTATTAACTGTTAAGCTTATATAATTGCAAACAACAATTATATGATTGGTTAACATGTTTTAATGGGTTATTTAAACCAAAAACTGAGCTTATATTAATAAAACATTTCTACTAATAATATCAAATAAAATGTTTTTTTTATATATTTAATTTTACCATTGTAATTAAATTAAACTCGAGATTAATTTTAGTTAAGCTTGTTTCATATGTTTTAGGCTAAGTACAAATAGATTGTGTCTATATTGTGATTTCATATATGTTTTGAGTTGAGTTAACAAGAGTGGGATAAAATCAGGCAACAAGTCACCACAAGTTAGTAACAAACTAATAACTTGTGTTGGGAAAATTGGTTTTTTTTTTTATTTTAATCAAATCAGGAGCCAATTTAGGTTCATATCATTGTTGGGTTGGGTCAAATCTATTGCCAGTTAAAATTAGATCAGGTACAAGTTTAAGTTATGGCCATAAAGTACCAAGTCAATTTTGTTTATGGAAATTACGTCAAATTCGATTATTATAGCTAGTATCTCCCATGCATGCATGTTACAAATATATATGTAGGATTTGAGCCATTGCTACTCCATAGTTCAAGCTAGTTTTTTGGGGACAGGTTAGTTTTTGACAATTTAAATTAAGTGTATCGTGTGTGTGTCCAACACATATCGATAACAAAATACACTTGAGACACACAAATTATCAAAATTGGGTGTTTGATTATTTTTGAATTATTAGATAAGCGAATACAGATAAAAATACATGGACTTGTTTTGTACATATAAAACATAGGTAAGAAAATCCCCTTAATTACCAAGGACATGTAGATGATGATTCTCAAACTTGTTACCTCAAAGTTATCATACTCCATCCATTCTAAATTAGTTGACTTGTTTTGACTTTACTTAACCAACATCTCTAACATGTTAAGTCAATCTAACAATGCAAGTCAACACCTAGGAGTAAAGGGGGAGGTAAGAGAATCCCCTATTCTCAAGCAAATGTAGTAGGTAGGACTCAAACATGTGGCCTTAAAGTCACAACTCATAAGGCAAATTTCCCACCAAGTCCACCAATCTTGCTTGGTATTGGCTTCTGATAAAAGTGATGCATTTGTTCGTTGTCATTCAATATAAGAAGAGAACTAATATGTATCGTTAATTGTGTGATCAATGTGCCATACATGGCTAGAGGTGACCAACTATGACCCTGACCCAAAAAAAAGTTGCCCAAAAACCATTCGATTAGTTTAAAAACTCTATTCGGCCCAGAAAAGCCCAAAAAATCCGCTTTAACTCGACAAGCCCATCACATTTTACAGGTTTCGGCATGAAATTTGCTTGAAATTTGATGTTAGCGTCCGAACCTGTCTGAATTTTAAATCACCTCTAGCCATAAGGCTGATTAGGAACTTTGAACCGTTAACCTTCCGTACTTGGTACTCCGTATCTGGCATGAGCTCCAATCGTTCAATTTGGCCCAATGACTCAAACTGCCTAAACCCTTGAGTACCATTTTCCCTCTCTTCCTGTTGAGCAAAAACCCCCAACATTTCCAGCAACAACCAACACTGCAACTTAGCTTCAACCCATCAACAATGGCGTCTAGACGATGTTTCTCCACTCTCACTCGCCATTCTTTCAACCCTCTTTTCTTCTCCAAATCTCCCTCTCTTCACTCCCTCAAATCCCTAACTTCTCACCTTCCTTCTCTTCAACGACTCCCTCATTCTCTCTCTCCTCAATTCAACCCTCATTCATTCCTCCCTCGCAACTTTTCTTCACGCACCCAAAACCCTAAAAATCCTAAAATCATCGAAAATGACGATGATGAAGACGACGACGATGATGAAGAAGAAGATGATGACGAGGAAGAGGAGGATTATTCGAGCGAAGAAGAGGGAGAAAGATCAAATGAGCCATCTAATCTTGCTGATAGATCGTATTTTGTTGAGGATAAACTTGAAGAAGCTGCTCATATTGGGTATAAGGTTGTCGGGCCGCTTCTGCCCACTGATCGGGTTTTTAAGCCCTATGAACCCGCTTTCGCAGTTGTTCAGGTTTGATTTATATTTTGTAAGTTTTGTTTGAAATTTGGTGTGGTTTGATTTTAGGGTTTAATTGGGGTTTTTGATTTGTTTTGTGGTGTAGGTGGGATCACATCAATTTAAGGTGAGTAATGGGGATTGCATCTATGTTGAGAAGCTCAAGTACTGTGAGGTCAATGATAAGGTAATTTGTTTTTCTACTCGATTTTATGGTCATTGATTGATGAGTGTGGTAATAATAGATTATAAATTGGTGTTGCATTTTTGGGTTTCGGTTTCCGGAAAGTTGATTTGGTATGTTATGATGATGAAGAGAAACTCCAGGCGTTGAAATGCACTGAATTTATTGGCTAGACATGGATATTGCCTATCATAGTAGGTGTGCTTGTTTTAAAGACTTGTTTGGATTTTGAATGATTTATGCTGGTTTTTATTTTGATCTGCATGTTGATCTTCACCATTGGCATTTAGAATTGCTCACTAGCTACTCTATACTTCATAACGATCGATTAGTCGAACTTGAAAGTATGCTACATCTTGGGAGTGGAATGACTGCGAAGTAATAGGAGTCAACTATGATTATATAAATTACTCTGCATTTTTAGGTTGGGGTGGGAACTCCATTTACTTCTGAAGTTGTGTCTATCAACCCCTTTGTTTAGAATAAGTTTGGTAACGTCACAAGTAGTTGTTAATAGAGCAGATATCAATATTCCTCCTATTGTGAAGCATTGAATGTTAGTACATGGGAGCTGCTTTTCCAACGGGAATTGTGAGAGTGAGTGAGCAAAAAGAAACTGGAAAAAACAATGGTTGATAGTTCCATATTCTCAACAGAAACAGAAAACCAATACTAGATCAGCTAAGATGGGTTGAGCTAGTATTGGGTTAATGAGTTGATCACGGTCCTTTTGCTCTGAAGAGAATTTTTTTGCTTTATTAGAGTATGAAGGCATAGGGACTTGGAAAGGGTGCTACATCTTATTTACCCTGCATTTGTTGTTTTTGTGGAGGATCTTTAAGCTCCAGCCTTTATCAATTATGATAAAGTCCTTATTTTGCTGCACTTAAAAGAGCAAATATATAATTGTGCTAGCTGAGCAGACCGCCTAATTATGGTTGGTTTGTTACATTGGTGGTGAACTTGACTTGTTAGTACCATAAGCAACCAGTATCTTCCTGACTACCTATTCCTACTATGTCTTGAAAATCCTAGTTTAATGCTTTTTGTTACATCTTGATAGCGCTCTACTAATTGTTGACCCTTACTTTCCAAATCAGCAGTACATAAACTGAAAGCAGGAACTGACAAGTGTATACTTGTCAGCAAGCTTCTTCTAACATTTAAATGATTTTGAATTTTAGAAGTGCCACTGACATGTAATGTCCTCTGAGTTTGAACTTTTAAGACTTATACTTGAAAATGATTTTAGGTTTCTCTCTTTCTTACTTGAATGCACTGATGTTAGTGTCTTGTGCATAACTTTTGTTTCCCTAATTCATCAAGTTGTTCCTCACAGTTACTTTCCTCATATCGTACCAAGAATTCAGGTTGGTTGCTCATCATTTTGGTTTTTTGCAGTTGATTTTAAATAAGGTCTTGATGGCCGGTTCACCAACCCAAACCATGATTGGGAGGCCTATATTGCCAGAGATTGCAGTTCATGCTGTCGTAGAGGAACATGTAAGAAATCTTTGGAACTTAATTTTTATTTATGTTTATCAATGGTTTCTGGGCTATTACCCCTTAATGTTTGATCATCTCTATGTCGTTCGTCTTAGCAAAAGGTGGTTTCTGCTTACAACCTCTGGGCTTAGGGGCTAAGATCTATATAAGAGGCCCTCTAATTCAAAAGAAACTGCATTATGCAGTCAAATTTATCAATAAATTAGGTTGCTGATTACTCAGATCTGTTGAAGTTACTGTTTGTGAAAGAAATGTAGTTGTAAGGCAATTAATTTTTGTCATGAAAGTTGAATTTGAATGAGTTGCAGGTCAGATTTAATTGTGAATTTATGAGTAATTATAAATTAACTTTCTCATTTTCAGGCTTTAGATGCCAAGGTTATCATCTTTAAAAAGAAGCGAAGAAAGAACTACAGGAGGACCAAAGGTCACCGACAGGTAATGCAAAACTGAGATTCATGACATTACTCAACCTCCCTCATGCATGACCCTGTAAACTGACAGGTGCTAATGTGTAAATGGACTTGCAGGAGCTCACTAGGTTGAGAATAACTGATGTAGAAGGAATTGAGAAACCAGAAGCACCACCAGTAGGGAAGACACCAAAAACTGCTGCTAAGAAAGTAGAAAAAGTAGCGGTGGCTGCATAATTGGGGTCTCACATAGTCAACGTGACAACTGGTCAAGCTGATGGTTTGAGGCTCAACTCTTGCAAACTGACACGGGATTCCCATGTCATGTTTTCTGAATCAATGTTACATGAGTCATATAAGCAGAAAGTTTTGATTCTTGACCATATGTTAGCATATATCAAATCTTGTAGGTGTATAATTTGTTCAATTCATAAAACCATCATGTAGTGATGTAGACATGTGCAATTCTTCTACCCTGAATGAAAGGAGCAGGAGTTTTGCTGAAATGACTCAAATGAGTTCAATATTGTAGTCTTTTTGATAAAGTTGTTAGATTTATGAATCATTTGTTTGCCTGTGGCCAGTTGTTCATAGATTAATTTCACTAATGTAAGATTGCCTGTGGCCAGTGGCCAGTTGTTCCGACCTTGTTTGCGAATCATTTTATTTACACAAGTACTAAATAGGCGACTGTTGTTCCAATCTTCTCCTTTTGTTCTTGCAAGATTGTGGGTATGAAATACTCTAATTTTCTGCAAGATTGAGATTATCTTAGTAGTTCATGATTTCACACAATCTCTTTAAACAAAGCTAGGAAAAAGAGTAATGATAAATAATATTATCTATTCCTCTAAATATCAAACTCCTATATCATTACACTATGTTGGAATATGACTCAAGAATCAATTGAGGATGAATTACTTGTGTTGAGCAAAGAAGCATTGGATGGGTCAACTTCAACTGGGCATATCTCTCAAATTACTCGGAATTTTGAGGTAATTCAAGTTGGAGGTGAAAGCTTGTTTCAAGAGCTTTCCAACAATAGGTCATAAACTTAATTCTGATGAGAAACGAGGAAGTTATAGCTGTTTTACTACGAGCTATCTGTGCTAACTCGAACAGGGGTTGTACGTCCGTGCCAAAATTGGCACGTTCGTGCAGCTGGAGTTCCAGACGACCAGTAACTTCTGGTCTAATTTATCTAAGCTAGCACGTCCGTGCCTACCTGATGCTCTATCCAGATCTGTCAGGGGTATAAATACCCATTTGGGGTTATTTTGTTTATTATCCCCAAATCGAGAAAAACACATTTAGAGCTAGGGTTCTTGTTCTTGAAACCCTTGTGCTTTAAAATGGATATTAGTGAGAGATTACTCTTATAAACACTAGTTGAAATCAATACAACTATTCTCCTTGCTTTGGGTGGGTTTTATAGTATTCAAATAATTGCTTAGAAGGATTTTCCCACCTTCCAATTTTTTTTTGTCTCTTTTACTATTAAATTTCTTAATTGTTCTTTGCTAAATACTTCAATTATCAATCATTTGCTCTAAGACACTAAAATAAACAAGGATGCTAATTGGCCGAGATGATCGCGAGCTGATAGTTGCTAGTTTCGACTTGAAAACTTCGCTTGACTTGTGAAATTTTGGCCTTTGCTTCCCCTATATACATTTTTTTCATTCTTAAATTACTCTTACTTTCACTTTAAAAATTAGCAATATTATTTTTCCAATATAAATTAAATAAATAAATTATTCCGTATTAACTTATTCATGAGCTTAGCTTATCAAGTCGAATGAGAGTTTGCTCAACTCATACGTCTCATGCTAGTTAAAGTTTTGAGTCAAATCAATTTGATTTTTGATCAATATTTGACCAAGTTGAGTTGCTTGTGGCCTATTAATGGTCTCTTTCTTTGTCTTACTCGTACATGTAAGTGACGTAACTTTGTAACGATCAAAAGTCAGATACCATTTTCTCTCAGTAATAATTTTCGTAAATAAATCAACAATTTTTTTCAATAATGTGAGCTCCACACTTGATGGTGATTGGATAAAGTTGTGGATTTATTTACGAAAATGTCATGGATAAACAAAAATTATTTATTACTAAGAGAGTAAATGGGGCAAGCTCAAAAGTAGGAGGTAATTCAGAATTTTAGACACGGTAAAAAAAAAAAAAGAAGAAAAAAAAAGGTGAAATTTGAATCATCGTAAAATCAACAATCCATTTACTTGCAAGTTGCAATTCATCATTCACAAAACCCCTTAAAAGTTAAAACCCAGAAAAACCTCTGTAATTCAACCTAGCGCCAAAAATGGGGAAGAACGGCAAGAAGCAGAAGCATCAACAGAAATCTTCATCTCGTCAAAGACACTCTCATTTTCCTCCTGAAGATGAACATTACCCTCCTCTTTCTCTCTCTAACAGCGATGAAGAAACCTCAGAAGAGGAAGAAGAAGATTCTGAACCAGAAAATCAGCAAAACCCTTTTTCTGATGAGTCAATTCCTTCAAATTTTTCTCTTTATCAACAATCTGTTCAGGTATAATTCTTAATTTAAAGAAATTTATGTTAATTGAATTGGGTATTTTGTTAGAATTTTAATTGGGTATTTGTTTGTCTGTTTGTTTGTTAATGTAGTCACCAAAAGGGGATATAAGCTATTTGCAGAAGTTCTTCTTGATGTATGTTGGTGGGAGAGCTCCTCTTCACCTACAAGAGGATTTTTGTGGCACTGCTCTTCTTAGGTAAAATTTATATTTTGCTATATTTAAGTATGATTTTCTTGAGGGAGGTACTTGTCTGAAATTCAGAATAACAAACAAGTTAGTAATGATGTATAGATTTTGGGAAGCTGTTTGAGTACTTGAGATACACTAATATACACATGTTATCGGAAATAACAAACATTGTCCAAACACCTCATAATTAAACATTTGATACAATTCGATTATAAACCCTTACAATAGTTTGAAATGTGAACTTTTAAAGGACATCGTGTAAAAACGTAAAAGAGAACTGGGAGTATATAGTGCGAATTGTATTATTTTGGTATCTTGATTTCCTTTTCCCTTTGTGTCTGAGCATTTTAGGGCTATGTTACTTAACACAAGGTTAGAGTGTTAAAGATCATGTGGGAATCGAGAAGTTAGACATATGGTTAAGGTGTTTTCTTTTTTGATTTTTGTTTCTTCCTTCCTTATTGGTACCTATTTATTCAATTCTTTGGAGTAGCTCACATGTTTTGCTTTCTTTTTCTCTTTAGACTGGAATGATTTTAGCTTCTTTTAGGATTTTATGTAAATTAATCACTTGATATGGAAAGCTATGAAGTTCCTAGTGCTCATCTACACATTAACAAGAATGTGAGAATTTGGTCTTGATAACTCATGTAATTTGATTCTTGATGAAAGGATTAACGAATGTGCTAGCTTGTATGCGATTAATGACAATCAACAATGATAAAGAGCGAAAACAAGTAAGTAACGAAGACAAGAAAGAGTTTACCGTGGGAACCCGATTGCCGGGAGAAAACCACCAATCCACTATGAAGTAATTTGATGATGATGATTACAAGCTCTCAAACCACCATGAAAGCTCACACCTCTCTTAAACCCTAAGAAAATGAATTAATACAAGAGGCTTTTCTTTTCTCTCTAATTATCACATCATACCCTAATTAATGACTAAACATGAGTATATATAGTGCAATGCCTAAATACAATCCAATGGACAAGAAGCAACCACGCCTTTTAATCGCAAACCGAAGAAATCAGCCTGTCAAAACTGACCTCAGGTTCAGGCGAACCTTCATCTGGTTTGGGCGCACAAAAGAACAGTGACATTGCTCACTTTGTTCCCTTCGAGGTTTGGCCGAACCACTAACAAGTTTGGTCGAACTGCACTTGATTCTTCACGAGCGCATGCATGCACCTTATGCCTCCTTTGATTAGCCTTGAATTGTTCTCCACACATCACAAACCCAACACTTGAATCTTCATCAATCTAGATTAGAGTGTATTGTAGTGCACTACTTAGCTTGCATTCATTCTGAAGTGCAGGACTGGGGAAACTACAATGTTGTAGCACCTCAATTATACTGATGAAACTATAATGTTGTAGCTCCTCATATATACCGGGGAAACAAGCAGCTGTGATAATGTGATATCATGTCTCCGAAATTGCTTATAATGCTTATAATGTGATCATCGTGGCTGCTGTTTTTACTTGTTATCTCTTGTTAATTGTGTTTATATGGCTTCGCTTTATATGGCGTGCTAAACAAAAAATGACTTTTATGGGTGAATATCTGTCCCCTTAATTTTTGTACATCATACCAAACGAGTTACATCACGTACTCCTTATTTTCTTGCTAAAAAATGTTTAATTGCTTTGTATTGTGATGTGCTGATGTGGAAAAAAAATCTCAGTAGACTAAGTACAGTGATATGTGCTCAAGTTTGTTCAAGTGCTACCAAATGTTTCATATTATCATCTAGTCTAACTGTCTAAGTGTTCTGCAATGGGTTGACAGTACAGAGTGGCTTCGAACTGATCCTCGGAGGACTGCTATAGGTGTAGATTTCGACCTTGATGCACTCATGTGGTGCATGGAGAACAATGTTGACAAAGTTGGCAGTGACATTCGTTCCGGAATCTCTCTTTTTCATGGAAATGTTTTGCAGCCTCTTGAGGCTAGAATTGTCAAATTGAATTCTGAGGATCTGATTCAGAAAGTAACTATCCAAGAGAGTCAAGATGCCACACTAAAAAATCCAGCAGAAAACTCTCTGGGATCGGCAGCTTCAGTTAGTGGTGGAAATTTGAAAAAGGATTTCTCATTGCCTGCAAGGGATATTGTGTGTGCTTTCAATTACAGTTGCTGCTGCCTGCATAAGCGGAAAGAGCTTGTTGCATATTTCAAGTATTCCCTTGATGCTTTGTCTAAGAAGGGTGGTATATTTGTCATGGATTTGTATGGTGGTACTTCATCTGAGCACAAGTTAAAGCTCCAGAGGAAATTTCCCAATTTTACGGTATGCATATAACATTTGCTAGATCTAGATTTTGGTGGATCAATATAACTATGCGATTTGGTTTATAGCCTTGGGAGTTGGGATGCCCTTGAATTGAAAGGGAGAATTTGTGATTTACTCCGTAGTTGCCTTTTCTTGACGACTGGTACTAAGCGTTATTATCCTTTTATGACAAGGTCTTTTTTTTTAAGCTATATGATTAACATTTCCCCATGTAATTCTAGCTACTTTCAGGCATGCTGAATCGTCCTAGAGATTGGAATAGTGGTGATGAGACATGACTGATAAGTGATAACTAATGAATCAAGGATTATTTTGAGTTACTTGTTAAAGATAGTAAATCTTATCATTTTTGTTGGAATTTAGACCAGTACCTTACTATCTTTCAATTTGTTGAGGTTGGTTATCTACATATCAGCTGTTCATGGACTAGTAGCATTCTATATATTTTATTAGGATTATACAGGGAAAAGATAATATAGAGCCTTTTGGTTTCTACAAATAAAAGCCTGTATGTCAATGCATGAAGATGTGTAATTGAATATGACGGTAGTTACCATAGCAGTTCATGTAATATAAGACTAGTCCATAATTATCTTTTGGCTGTGATTAGTATTAACATTGGTGGAGATTGGCCTCTCAGTTATTCTAGCTGCTTGGCTCTGCTATTCAGGGGAGTGTAATCTCTGTGATGTGCTTGAATATGCAGAACAAAATTTACGACATTTCCCTGCACTGGTGCTTATTAGAAGGGTGCAGAATCTTTCAAAATCAATTTTTGATGGCTCTTATGGCTCTTAGTGCATGATATTGCTAACGTCTGTTTTTCAATTATTTGTGACTACTTTAGAGATGTTATTGAGTGACAATGAAAGTCTATATTGAAAAGCACATGTTTGAGGATGGAGTTGCATAACCATGAATATTAACGTGAGACTTTTCTAACAAAATTACATATTAATTCATGACCATAAATCCCAATTATTATTGGCTTTATTGCCTACCAAACGGGTTGTAAATGTGTTTCTGATGACTAAAAATCCTCTCTTATTTTGTACTTATCTTTAATAGCCTATATTTTCTTCTATAGCTAACCATTTGAGTATTTTTTTTTAATGCAAAGTGAGGTGTAGTAATCTAATATGGCTACTTTTCTGTAGTATACATGGGAGCAAGCAGAATTTGATTTAATCCAGCGGAAGACCAGAATTAGTCTTCATTATCAGCTCCACAAGCCACAGAAAAAAATTCGCAATGCCTTTTCTTATAGCTGGAGGCTGTAAGTCATTTCCTCCCTCCTGAATTTGCTCTTCATAAAATGTGATAACTGTGAAAAGGTTGCTTATGTCTTACATTTCTAATTAAATCCAGGTGGTCATTGCCTGAGATAAGAGACTGTTTGGAAGAGGCTGGTTTTCAATCTATTCATTTTTGGATAAGAGAGATGCCTGACACTGAGAGAAACAGAAGTAGTCGGGGATTTGGTTCCTCAAGAGATGATAAATACGAAGAGGTCTCAAGTTTTCAGCAGCAAGATGCTTGGAATGCCTATGTTGTAGCAGTTGCTTAAGTATATCTTCAAATCCCTACAACACACTGGTAAAGGCTACAATGAGGAAAGTTAATGTCATGAGAAATAGTGGTATGCTATCTTCCCTGCAAAACTCGTTGAAAAAGCATCATGTTTTTGTCTCTGATTCTAACCTAGATTTAGGAGTCTTGGACTTTCAGTTTAGTGGATATTTGATGTGTTTCTTCTTGTGACCGAAAATAGCTTTGTATGTCTAGAAGCTCATTGTCTCACTCAAAAAGTCGTAAACAAGCTTTGGACAATTGGACCCTAGTATTCTTAATTTTTAATAATTTGAGTAGGCAGGTTATAAGCAAAGCGGTATAGGTGCTTAAGGATTGGATAATTTATCTTTTCTAGACAGTGAACCAACTCATGGAAAGCTTTTCTGTACACAGTACACTGTTACTCACTTACTCGTATGTAGATCAAATGAAAAAAAATGGTTTTCTGTAAGAGTTTAGCTAGGGTTGAATATTTATTTATATTTGAACTATCATTCCACGTTCCATGAGAACAAGCGATCTCCATTACAGTATTCGATATGTGTATTGTGTTTAACCTATATTGCTAATTTGCTAAACATTCCAGTTTCAAGGTAACTAATCAATACTCTTATACTGAATATAAATTTATAACTCCATTTAGCGAGTTATATTGAGTGTAAACTTATTACTCCATTTAGCAATTATTGCCCAAGGCGCAAGCCAATTCAGTGTAGAGCTGCAGGGGTAATGCTCCTTGAACCACTCTTGGAATTTTGACAGCAGGGGAGTGCTTTGAGTCCATGGCCATTTTAAGTAGATTGTTATTCTTCGTTCTGCCAAAAAAATTCAGTACTAGTTACTCATGACTTTTTATCTGATCCCAAGTGCCAGATCCTTGACGCTTAGGTATGGGTATAGGCCTATCAGGTAGGACACATCGACCTTTCATTTTGGGCCAAAATCATGGATAGATTTCACAAAATAGTCTTGGACATGTACCCGTATTGAACAAGAATACCCTAGTTTTAGTAACATAGGCTGCTGCCCTTGCCACAATGCTACCTCTATTCTCCCTGCTGTTGGCACAAGATGTAGACTGGTCAAAAGATGGATAAATTTTAATTATTAATTATTATTTTTTCTAGAAGCATAAATACTGAGTAGTAGAAATTGAAAAGTAAGTTGAAAGAGAGAAAAGTAGAAAAAGGCAGCAAAATACAGACTTAATAAGCAAGTTGAGGGAGGTTAGTATTGAGATGATCACCTTTTAATCAGTCAATTACATTCACCATGTGTTGATTGTTCTCCCCTTCCCCACATGACCACATGCCTATATTCCCTTTACTTTGGGACACACAATTATGCTCTAAACCTTTATCCTTTATAAGCCGCCTCCTTGTTTTGGGAAAGTTTTTCACAAATTTTGGACCTTTTTTCAGTCAAGCAAGCTACTAACTCCCATTTGTAGTCATTTGATAGACTTAAGTGCTCATGTATACTTCTCCTCTATGTGCGATTTCCAAATAATAGTCGTATTGCCCTAACCTTTCATAATGGATGTACATGATCTATTTTAAACCTCTTCATAATAAGTAGTCCAATTAAGTTAATTATCTCTTTTCCTATCTGTTGTTGATAAGTTCATATACGGAGTATATATAATACCCATTACTTTAAGTACCGTTGTTAGTAAACCAACTCGACCATATATCAGTTTCTTATTGATTTGTTTCCTTCTATAGGATGTACGAAATATTACACAAAATTTCCATATTATCCATGATCAGATGATCCTGGTCATCTTCCCACCTATAACAGGTGAGACTATAAGATGAAATGAGGGACCCTTAGAAAGAATGATAATGGGCTGAAAGTAATCCAAAAGACCAAAATTTGAAGGTCGGCTTAGAGAAAGCAAGGGCCCTCCATTGTTTACAAGCAATGTCCGTCATAATAGAATGAAAGGCAGCATGTTCCACGATTAGCTGATTACCCTGAAAAATTGACTGGGAATATTAATTAATAATTGCACCACTTAATTAAATCTTCATTAATGATGCTCATCTTTCTCAAGGACATTGGAGGAGCAAATCCTTTATGTCTCACCTTCCTCATATGTATAGCTATTTAATTATAAACTATTACTCAGTCTATTACAGAGTACTTCGTATAATTAGAAAATAACAACTTGTTACGAAGTACTGGCATATATGCCAAAAAAATGTTTGTCTATTTCTGACTCTCTTTCTTTGTAATGTCATGTTATGTATAAGTATAATTGTATAATTTGGCCTCTCTTTAATAAGAAAAAGTGGTCGCTCCTTTAAATAAATAAGATTATATTATTAAGTATGATCCACGCCATGTTTTTTTTCTTGGTATTTTTTCTCATTAGGACTTCTGGCTCTCCAATTCACTATTAGACTTATGGAAATCATAAATAATGAGAAGATGAAATTAGAGTAGTGGCATTTCCCTTTGAAAGTAGATAAAACCAATGTATTCTTTGCTTCTCAACTTTGTTGATGTTGCACCATTTTAATTCTTCACCTCTCTAGTTAGAGTTCAACAAAATATTGTAGACAGTCTTTCATCTTCCAATGTGTTCTATAACTTTTATTCCACAATTTTTTTGAGGGACCACAAAATTAATTCAGTCATTCAGAAATAATGAATGATGTTGATTTTTTTTCTTAAATAAAATAAAATAAAAAAGGAAAGACATAGTGAATGACAATGTTTATCATTTTTTTTTTTCTTAAACAACAATAATTGTTATATATGGTTAGTTGGTCATGGACAACGACTAGATCACAAATTTGTTGAAACTTTCTAATCTTGGATCCTATAGAAAATTAAGTTTGCTCTTGCAAACTGCTATTGGCTGCACTTTAAATCTGTTTAACCTAATAAAGCAAAGAAAATGCTATTTATGGGCTAGCTTTTTTCCTTCATTATCCTAAAAAATCACTAAAACTAATTTCTTCACCCATATATAGAAAGGAACTGTGCTTTTAATATGAGCATTCTTTTCCTCTTTCACCTTATTTGTGCCAAGTTTAATGGGAATGAAATTTTTTTTAATTACTCTCATCAATCCTACGTGACATAAAGTTTGGTAAAACTCTTAGTAATGCTAAAACTTTGTTAGAATTACAAAAATACACATTAAATGAATGCCTCATAAGGACTAAAGTTTAATAAATTAAGAGTGAATTTCTAAGCAATTTTGAGTATGTCAATTTTTAATATACTTACTTCTTAGAATTTTATAGGATGACTTTTATCGGAAATTCAAATGAATAAGTCTTCTCAAGAATCCATTCTCAAGGAGAAATAAATGTTCTTATATGTGAAAGTACAAGTAATATTCCTCGACATAAATTAAATCAAGCAAATTGTCAAAGACTCAAATATGTATGAAGAAATCGTGGAGTTATGATTTAATTTTAAATTGAACACTTCTTATATGATTGATCCTATTGTAAACCCATAATTCTTCATTTTATCAAAATTAAAATTATAAAAAAATGTCAACTCGTAATTTTTTATAAGTTTATTTTCATCAAAAGTTATTGCATTTTATAGTTATCTTTGACTAATTTTTTTTTTACCTTGTCATTTTATCAAAAAAAAAAAGAAAAAAATTGAAAATCTTCCTTATTAATCTAGGTGATTTTCTATCCCTTCTTTCCAAAAAAAAAAAAAAAAAAAAAAAAAAAAAAACTAGGTGATTTTCCCTTTGCTCTTTTTATCCTCTTTCTAGTGGAATCTTCCGTTCAACGGAGTACTTCATTAATACTACCCCATATGAACTACCGTGTAATTAGGATTTAGAACTATATTATATAAATAAATCTCCTCAAAATCATATTCCTGCTTTCAAAATACAAACCCACCCATTAATTCCTCTCAATTTCTCAAAATCCCATCTCCCACCCTTTCTCTCTCCTTTCAAACAGCCTCCAAAATCCATTCTTGCTCAACGCTTTTGCTGTATGTAGCAACCCCTTTTTTTCTGCAAGTTTCAATCTTTATTTCTATAATTTCTTATTTTTTTGCTATATTTTTAAGTTTTAGCTGTACAAAATTCCTGCTTTGATATTAGTGAATTTAAAGATTGAATCTTGCTGCTTGATTTAAATTTATCTATAATTTATAGTAAAAATTAAGTTTATTTTGAGGATTAGTTGAATGTTAGAAAGTGTAGAAGATGAAGAGTATATTTCAAAGTCAAAATCCAAATTTTGGGAGATCTATTCTAATGATTCACCAAAAACTCTAGCACATAATCTTATTAGGTCCACCGCCTTTTCATCACAACCCATGAAAAGGTCGGTTAGACCCGTTTTTAGTTTGTTGTTGTTCATTGTTATTGCTGCAACTTTTGGTTGCAGGATTGCAATTAGAAATGGGTTTGGATCCATTTATGGTGAAGGGGATTATTCAGTTGGTAATGGTAGTGTAGTTTCACCATTGGATTTGCATGTTTTTAACTCCACATTGCTTAGATTGGCTGACGTTGAGGTGGGTGAGGGTAAATTGAGGAAGGAGGTTGATGAATTGATGGATGGTAATTTTGGGAATGTTGCTCGGCTTCGGACTTTCGCCTCGTGGCGGAGGTTCTTTAGGAGTGGGGATATTCGTGCTAGGACGTCGAGGGGGGTACCGGTTAATATCCGGTCACCGGAGTTTTCTAAGGTTTGGTTGACATTTAGGAGGTCTTTGGGTGATTGGTTTAGGAAGAAGAGGTTTAGTCCTGATATTATGGAGGAGTTGATTGAGCTTGTGAAAGTTCCTATTGATAAGCATAATGGAGTGTTTGAGGGTGTAAAGAAGAAGTATTCATCTTGTGCTGTTGTGGGAAATAGTGGGATTTTGTTGAGTAAAGAGTATGGGAAATTGATTGATAGTCATGAAGCCGTGATTCGGTTGAATAATGCTAGGATTGAATCTTATCGAAAGAATGTGGGTTCTAAAACGAGTTTATCATTCGTAAATAGTAACATTTTGCATCTTTGTGCAAGGAGGGATGATTGTTTTTGCCACCCATATGGGGCTAATACGCCCATTGTTATGTATATGTGCCAACCTGCCCAATTTCTAGACTATGTAGTGTGCAACTCGTCTCATAAATCGCCCTTGATTGTCACCGATCCTAGGTTTGATATGTTGTGTTCTCGGATTGTGAAGTATTACTCACTAAAACGGTTTGCAGATCATCCGAACAAGACTCTAGAGCAATGGAACTCCGCTCATGATGGGTCTATGTTCCATTACTCTTCAGGTATGCAAGCTGTGACGTTGGCATTGGGAGTTTGTGATAGAGTTAGCCTTTTTGGGTTTGGGAAATCGACTGCTGCAAAGCATCATTACCATACTAATCAAAAGGCGGAGCTCACATTGCACGATTACTTGGCCGAGTATGATTTTTACAACGATTTAGTGGAGAGGCCTCGTGCAGTACCATTCATCTCCAACAAGTTCAAGTTTCCTCCTGTGGAAATTCATCGTTGACAAGTCTTTTGAAAGCGTCTTTTTGTGGATTCTATTAATTGTAGTCTTAGTTTTTTCTTCATATACCCAAATCAATTAGGAACAGAAACAAATTCGAAATCCCAAGAGAAGTTTCTTGTGGTGATACTTTGCTGTAATTTTGATCTAGTTTTGAGTCCACACTTTCATGAGAGTGTCCAATTGTATTTAGCTCATGATTTAAACAGTTGAAAAAAAATAACCCGAGTCTTTAAATTTCGAATGTGTGCCATTGTGCATTTGTGCTGTTTTTTGATTCACTATTATGTGTTTACTCAGCTCTACTATATACGAAGTAATAAATATATTTTGGGTTAATTTTGACCAAGTACATAAGCTTGCGTACCTTATATACGACCCTTAATCAAATACTTTCGTGTGGCATTGTATAACTTCGGATATTATTAATGGACTTAATGGTTAATACTCTACTTATACAACTCATATCTAGATGAAGATAATATAATACGTTCAGTTGATTGTCAAGTTGGAAAAATGACGTGATCCTCAATTTAAGAATTGGATTCCAGGTAGATACACTCAGCAGCACGCCGTTGTGGACCCTTAGCAATGACCAATAAACCCTTAGTCGTCAATTTTCAACTTTCTTGATAATGAAGATCACAGCTTAAATCTACACCCACAACTTTCATATTTGACTGTCTAGATTTGTAATTTACTGGTATTGGTTGTTTTACGCATCATTTTCAATTGTTTAACTTGACTTGATAAAACCTTTGTTCGTTATTAAAATCACAATAATACATGTGTATATTTTTTTGATTTTGTTACAGCTAACCATGTTCGTTCTAGCATACCATCTTTTATCAAGAAATAGAGCTGACTAATCGTAAGGGCCGATACTGGCTCGAGAAATGGCTCAAATGGCTGATGTTAAGGTCGATACTGGAATTCTATAACTAGAATTTTCAACTTCTGTAACATCACAGAATATACAAAACAAAAAATTTATAGAACTTCAAGCAAATAAATTAACAGATGAACAAAACCGAGCTGATTTCCAGCAAAAGATCACCAAAATAGGTCTGTTTCCATTATATACCAGAACTACAAAAGCTGTTGCAACAAAAGATAAGACTACTTTACTAGTGTAGTGTCTTTTGAACCCTTGGGAGAATTAAGCATACTAGTTAACTATCTACAAAATAGCAAAATATCATCCATCCATATAAACCATCCTCGGTAGGGGAACAACCTGAGGGAACCGCAACGAGGGGGGATGCAGCATGGGCATGCCTTGTGTCGTTGGCTCGTTGCTTCTGCACCCACTTGATTTCCCTCCAAAAAAACTGGTTGTGAATTCAAGCCATCACTACCTTCTCACTCTGCCTTCTCTATGTACTTCACAGCCACCAAAAAGCTCATCTTAACCTGTAAAAAAATTATCTATCAGACACAGAATACTTTACATATTACAACCGAAAAAACAAAATTTAGGTTGATTTCAGGCACTATCTTGTTACCTGGTTAGGATCATAAACAGCATACTCATTGAAATCCAAAATACTTTCTTTTGGTTCAGGTGATGCTGGGACTAATTTACCACAGGGTACCTTGATATCATCTTTCCAAACAAAATGCTCCGACTCATCGGTTTTCTTTCTCCCTAACCCTTTCACTTCTACCTTCCTCTCCTCCAAGGACTTTGTATCCTCTGGAGGGCTCTTAAACTCGATTATTTCGTCCCCTAGAGATGCTACTGCTAGTACTAGGAATCCTTCTGGCCTGTCGATTGCTGTGAATCCATACCTTGCAGCTTCAGCAGCAGCGTCTGAACATACAATTGCCCTGCCAAACTGTTACAAGTAGAAAGAAAGACACAGAAATAAGCATTCCTGCAAATGATGGAAAGATGCAAATATATATATGTTCTGTTCATAGTGTGTTGATACCATGTAGCCTGCAACAGGAAGAGAAAAGATTGCAGGGAGAAAACCCTTCTGCAGATGTCTTAGCAGATTCGAACTTCGAGTTCCTACACACATTAATCGATTATGAACCTTAAACAAAGGCATCAATGCAATTTCTGTGAATAAGAAAGAAGGTGCAAAGCTTCCATACCACACCATAGCAGAACTTTGTTTGGCAACTTCTTTATATCATTATAAGATGGTCCAGCACTCAAATCAACAGCAAGGATGTTCTCAACAGAAACGTCATAACTCTGAATAAATTGGATTACAATGAATAATGAGGACTTTTAATATCAATCAACTAAAAAGGGTTTGGTTACTTACAACTTCACCAACTTTGATTGGTTCATAGGTTTTCTCCAAGTAGTTGAGGATCATCTTATAATCATCAGATTCTTTGTCCAGAGCAGTTATCCTGCATCCGAGCTTCTTGTAACGTTCATACATTGGGTCATCCAATGTTGAGCCACTCATGTCGCCAATTAGTCGTGAAGCTGCGTTTATGTCCCTAACAGTCTCAAGAGGAGATGCCGCCTGCACATATTTGCCCCAACATATTAGCCAAAGAAAAATTAAACTTGGGGAGTATTTGTAGAATATTCAAATAAGCACGAAGTTAGTTACATGATCCGCGAGTTCCTCAAAATCCTCGAAGATGAAAGGCCTAGTAGAATGCATGAGCGTAAACCATTTTGAACTAAATTCAGACCAGAGTGCTTCAGCTTTTGGTCCTCCTTGCTCCGTTGACTTTACGTTCTCTATAAAGTGCAGGAGAGCATCCTCACCTGACGTAATATAAGCTTGATGTTAATCTATGACAAGGCAACATATAAGTTAAATAAACCTATTAATTTAGACTAGAAGATTCCAATTACATCTTTTCAAGTGCAAATCAGTGACCATTCCTACTGGCATGTCGGGCGAATCCAAACCCAACTCCATCAAAGCATATCTGTTGAAAAATTATATAGGCTCAGAATATGGACATGAAAATGTTAATCTTCAAAAGTTTAGTAGAAACTAGAAATAGAAGTACCTATAGATCTCTTGACTGCATAAAACCTTCATGAAATTTGCAGCCACAGGGTCAAGTTTACAATGTGCAGCTGCTGTTCCTAGTTGCCGAAGAGCCAACCCACCATATCTCACCTCAACTCCATCGTCCTGTAGGAGTACAGTTTTAAAGATATCAACAAAAACCTGAAATCCTCTATAAATATCCATAATGAAATGTAATATAACTTGTACCATATCTATCACATGGAACTTTTGTGGTTTCTTCTGAAACTTCTTTTCTGTTTCCCATGGAAAAAACTCATTTCCTGTTAATTCTTCGAAAAGCCGTGCAAATTCCTTTATTGCATCATCCACACTATCCCATTCTTCCATCCTCTCCTCTGCCTTAGGATCATCCCCTACCTTACCCTTCTTGTAATAGAGGTGTAACTTTTTCTCAGGTACGGTGACCAGTTGGATTATAGCGATCCTAACAGAAAAGAAAAGAGTTCTAATCAAGGAAGTATTGTTAAATCAAGTCTGACAGAATCAATGTACTTAGTTTGGAAGAGGCCTATATTACTCGTTTATGTTGCGGCCTTGGTCGCAAAGAGAGAAACCACAATTGTAAAGTAAACCATCTTTCTCCAAGATCTTCCCTCCTTGTTGCTGCAGCATGGTGTCCTTGTAGACACCTCTCTTTCCATACATTTTAAGCTGGAAATGAAAAATCAAAAGCAAATTATAAAAACTGACCTCAATATTTCAACAACAGATTTACAGTTGAGAATCAGAAGACTGCAAACAGGAGGAAATTACCTCAGCAACAAGGGACTCAATGGCTTCCTCACTTGCATCCTGTTTGTCCCATGCAATTCCTTTGCCATAAGCAGATCGATCAGAAACACATTCATAAGCTTCTAAAGGCAGCAGCTCTTCTTTCTCGATGCAGTCTGTTAACCATGCTTCTCGTACCACCAGTATGCCCCTCTCTCTGCCCAAAAGAAGATAAGTGTATCAATTACATAAATTTCAATTTCTAATAATTGCATCATAAAGGGTGTTCTGGCTAATACTTACACTGCTTCAGACACTTTCGATGAGCCACCGCGTTCCCTTTCCATGGGAGGAACAACTAGACAAGTCGCACCTGCAATACAAAAATGTTTACACCAGTACAATACCAATATAATAATGTTACTGTTGCTACAAAAAAACATGATGAATTATTGCAAGCATATAGGTTACACAATACTGTGAAAATTTACCAATAGCTGTGTTGGCCACTTTGCCTCCATGTTTCTCAATTACTTGCTTCCAGTATTGCTGCAACATCACCAACAAACAGCAAAATTTAATCAATTTATTCACTAAGTTCCATCTATGAACCCACCTTAGCTTGTAAAAAGAAATCATGTACATACATGAGTTCGAGAAAGCCTGCCAGACAAACATATGACCATGTCTGTGAAAGGCTTGTCAGCATGATGAGGTATTTCCTTCTGATGACGCTGACTCGGATCTTGGTACTTCTTCAACAACTAAAACCCACTCAAAAACCCGAATTTTAGAAGTTACATATAAAGATAATTCTCCTTTTTTCAGAGGTTACTCGTCTTATTTCGTAGTTTATGTTGCTTCTATAGTATCAGTACGTATTACTAGTGAGTATAAATCGTATAAGGAAATTATAAAGGAGTATATAACTTACATCAGAAACCGGGGATTCAAGGACCGAATCCGGCAGCTTGATAGGATCCTGTTTCCTGGGAGGATTTTTGGTCTTGTAGGTGCAAGTGGCCCATTCACTTAATTCCCCAGTGCAAGAGTAACTATTTCCAATGAACTCCAAATTGCCTCCACATACTTTACATTCCAACAATGCTCCATAATATAATAGGTCTTGGCTGAATTTAATTTCGCAATATATTCCATGTCAAATATTTGAGTTTTGTACAAAACCTTATACCCAAAGAACAAATGACATAAAAAAAGATGATTAAGCTACTTAGCTACTTCTAGATGAAATGGTGCAACCCAAGTCGGTCACACCATGTTCATAGTGGCCTAGTCTCGTAAGTTTAGTTATAATGCGATAAGCTCAAATCATTTGGGTCAATGGATTTCGCTCCCTATATATGAACCAACAAGAACTATCTATCTATTGTGCTCACCGTAGGGGCTTAATTATATTTCCTAGAGTTCCTACGTCTGATTGATACTAGTACCTCCTATGTCCGAAATTGATTCACGTAAAAACATAGCACAATCGAGGATTCTGCATAATTTAACACACTTTTCAATAGTTTTTGAAATCCAATGCCTTGTGAACACTTACTCCCTCCGTCATAATATCTAATTAACTCTCAGTGTATGTAATCAAAGGTGTAAAAAAAAAAAAAAAAGTTTAAACCAAAATTTAAGATCAAATTAATTCAGTGATATTCTGTGGTATTTAACAGCTAAATAAACACTCTAGCTTATGACTTCCCACCAATATATGAGAGCTAAAGAACTACCTAATTATAGTAAAACACAGGTAGAGTACAATTTGTGGGAGGTTAATAACCATTTACAACCACCTATATATGTTGTGTGTTACATTAAAAAGTTCGAATTTTGTGACTAAACCATTATCATTACAAAGTTCATCCGAATTAGATTGTCACATTGCTACTTAAAATCACACTAAACATGCATGAAGACGAAGAAAAGTACAACTAATTTGAAAGACAACACGATAGATCGAGCTCTAGCTAAAATAAAATTAAGGTAACAAACATACCATCTAGAAACGACGGAGTCATCAAAACCAGTAGGGTCTTGGCCATTCAACTGAAGAATGGCCTTCATATGATCAGGAGATAAATTCTCCCTTGTAGCGTTACAAAAGTCTTCATACTCCTTAGAACTTGCTGATGTTGCTGCTTTTCCATTTGTCTTCCCATTCGTCTCATTCTCGTTCTCTTGCTTCGTCTTCTTCGCCGTCTGATGATCCGTATGCTCATGCGTCTTATGTTTTCTTGTCTTCATTCTTTCTTCTCCGTGATCGTGTGCTACGTGAGATCTCGTTTCGACCTATTTATATTCAAATTCACTTTCCACATTATTAGAGCACCAAATTAAAACGTACTTATCCAGAATATGTAAACTAATGATAAAATCTAAACAAATACTACCATGCATGCAACTTTGGTTATTCTTTGTTTTGTTATGCATTGTCAATTAAGAAAGAACAAATAGAGTCGGAGGGAGTATTTTTTATGGGTGCAACGTTGACGTGTACGTAGTACTCGGGCAGCCATGGCGCCATGCTAGTATTGCTACGGTTATGACTCTTATGAGTCAAAAGGTACGAACAAAGGGCAAGTTTGTCATATCTATACTAACTTTCTCAGCTCTTAAATTCCTTCTAATTAATGAACAATTATCATTATTTATAAACAACACAAATTTTTATTTTATTTTTTATTATTATTATTATTATTATTATTATTATTATTTTAAAAAAAGTCCTAACTTTGTACCTCCAAGAAGCATTAAGGCATATATGAATATATGATGCATAAAATCCCGAACATATCAACCCCAAAAAAAGCTACTTTATTTTGCATAAGGAGTAATAAAGATAAGGAAAAGAGAAGATGAAAATAGTTATATACACCCGGGTGCATAGTACATCCAAGAGTATTTTTTACTCATTTGATGATTAATGAACAATATATAATCATTAAAATGAGCAAACAATATCTTTAGGTACACCGTGCACCATATACATAACAAACTCTCAAGAGAAGACATTATAAAACCATCATCGGTATCCTCACGACTTCACTAGGGGGATCCCTAATTAAAAAAACGCGCTCTAGCATATAAACTTATTAAACCAAAAACGCCCTTGAAAATACCCTCACATGCACAAATATGTAAAATTAAAAGAGACAAAAACTCGGCTACATACATACACATTATATCCATACATATATACCAAAAATCAAGTTTGACAAAAACAATACCTTCATCTTCCTCCCAAATCTTGTAGAAAAAAGCTGTAGAACTTAGCAAATTAAGATTTTCTGATTTTCTCTACCTAAATAGTTCGCATAATAAGAATGGTATGCATAAAGAGAAGCGGAAAAAAGAAGGAGATGGAGTATTTGTAAACATGAAAAGGTACAAGAAAAGAAGAGACACGTACGTAAGTACTTCCAATGTTATTGCTCTTGTGTCGTACCAATTTGACAACATGTGTTTCAGAGTAGCTGTGAGTTTGCCAAGTGTCATCCTCGCTGATATTTGGACCCTCCCTTTTTAGACATCTGGTTTTTATGTCTAGCATAAGATTTTTACAATAAGTATGATGATTGTATTATATAATTTTATTCAAGATTCATACAACGAGGATCCGTGGCGCAATGGTAGCGCGTCTGACTCCAGATCAGAAGGTTGCGTGTTCGATTCACGTCGGGTTCAATATCCCGATCCTCACACGGATGTTTTTTTTTTTCTTTTTTTTTCTTTTTCCTCCCTATATAAGACTTAAAAGTTCCAAATTATAGGGTTTAATGTGTTCCATGATCTAATAATAGATATTTGATCGAGATATTAATTTTTATATTTAATTTACATGTGTCATATTTACACTAATATAAGCTTTATATTCAACCCACACTGCATACACCACCATGTAAGGTATGTCGTCTTATCACAACATCATAAATTTGTTGAAATTAATTGTTCCAGAGTATGAGTATAATTTTTAGCTTCAAATGAAGTATCTTCGATTAGGTCTCATTTGGTTGACACGGGAAATAAATTCCCGTAGGAAGTTGTATTTTATGGGAAATTATTTCCCACGTGAAATTCCTAGGATTTTCTTTAAATTGTTTAGTTGTGACGAACATGACACATGTAAATTAAATATAAAACAGTTGTGTTCGTGTAATCGTGTTTGGTCTTTTGTTCATTTCATGTTGTTCAAGATATCTATCAAAAACTACATAAAATGAAGAATAATTGCATAATTTGACCAATTTATCAAAATAGAACGTGTTCGGGTTGATTTTGTGTCATGTCGTTTTGACTTCATGTTTTCTCTAAGTAATTTCGTGTTTAAGTCGTGCCGATTTTAAACGTGTTGTCGTGTCATATCAAAGATTGTCAGCTCTAAGTCGATAGTCCAAATACAGGCAGTCATACAGCAAAGCATGGAGAGTGGTGGGTGGATAACTAATTTGGGATTTTGGGCGTATATGTGTGTATTATGTACCCAAAAGGCCAAAACCCTTTTGACTAAAATAACCAAGCAAAAGCCCAACATATCATCTCCTTTCCTAATTTGGAATTAACACAGATTTAACTCACCTCCCTCTCTCTCTCTCTCTTTCTTTGATTTCTCCGGCAATTCTTCCTCCCAGAGTCCCAGGTATACTTCTAATTCCCATTCCAAAGTTTTCATTTTTATGTATAACATCATGATTTTAGATGAAAATGTAGTAATTTCTACAATAATTTGAGTTGTAGAATCATGTTCTTGGTATACATTAATTAGTTGCAGTTATTTGTATGATTGAGTTTATTATTAGTTGAAGAGCTGTTTTTCTGAAATTTTCTAATACTTGATGCTCCTCTATGTCTCTTGAATTTGATTTCTTCTAATTTCAATAAGGTTGTAGTTGACGAAATCCCAAATTTCTAATCCTGGGGGTTCTTCCCCTATTTTATGAACCCTAGATTTCAGAGCTGCAATCTTAATTTTCTGGGTTTTTTTTGTTTTATTTTTGTTCAAAAATGTACCTTTAGAAGAAGAAATATTCTCAGAATTTAGGAAAGCCTTTGTTCTAATTGAATTTTATTGTGTTAATGTATGAATTTGTATTGTAAGCTGGTGCAAATTCATTTGGAACTGCCAAACAGTAGGTTCTAACAAAGAAGTTTATATGTAGTATAAAATTCAGGTGAAAAGAACGGCGCCTAAATGTGCTAGCTAAACTTTGAACTTTCCCTGTTACCATCCCATAAGAGCTTTTAACCTACTAAATGGGTAAATACTCCGTACTATAGAGGAACTTGACTGATGAATAACTATAGTAGTTCTACTGTGTTTCATTAAAGTGAGCCTCAGTCTAATACAGAGGGAGTACAATCACTCTTTGTTGCAGATGGACGGATGTATAAAAAACGGGTGGTTTTCTGATAAATCATCTATTTAGAGATTCTGTTTTGTTTGCTTGGTCCGCAAGAGTGAGGAAATGTTAGTATTCCATATCTAGTTAACATTTCACGTAATAGTCAGAAGCTCAGAACTAATTTTCTCCTGTTTTTAATTTGTGTGAAATTTGTCCCTGATATTGGTAGTTTGTTTAAATTAATAGTTTTACACCCTTTTTTCTGTTGAAATTTTGAAGTGAAACATGTTCTTACTCTTTATCCGTGGCAGGCTCGTCAGGGAATAATGTACTTAATGGAAACTCTATTTGACAAAATAATGGCTGTAAATGGGTGACTGTAATCTGATTTTCATATTGAGCTGCATGGTAGATGTGGGAGAATTGGGAATCTGATTGTTAAATGGAATCTAACACTACCATGGCTACCTCAGACTTGGAGCCTCATGAGGAGATGGAGTTTGAGTCGCACGAGGCAGCATATGAATTTTATAAAGAATATGCGAAGTCTTTGGGATTTGGAACTGCTAAGTTGAGCAGTCGCCGTTCAAGGGCTTCAAAGGAATTTATTGATGCGAAATTTTCATGCATAAGGTATGGGAACAAGCAGCAGTCTGATGATGCTATTAATCCTCGGCCTTCTCCCAAGATAGGTTGCAAGGCTAGCTTGCACGTGAAAAGAAAGCAGGATGGAAAGTGGTATGTGTATAATTTTGTCAAGGAGCATAACCATGAACTTCTACCTGAACAGGCGCATTTCTTCCGAAGCCATAGGGATTTGGACCCACTAAAGAATGATGTTCGATTGCGCAGACGCAAAATTTTAGCTTCTGTATCCAAACGATTCAGTGCGTATCAGAATGTTGGTTGTTTGGACAATCTTAAAAGAAGCCAACATGCCAAGGGGCGGAGTCTGTCTTTAGAAGCTGGAGATTCACAAATGCTGCTTGATCTTTTCATGCAAATGCAAGAAGAGGATCCAAAATTCTTCTATGCTGTGGATTTGAATGAAGAGAATCGGTTGAGAAATGTTTTCTGGGTTGATACAAAAGGCTTAACTGATTATAGTTACTTTAGTGATGTAGTATCTTTTGACACTACATATGTTAAGAACAACTACAAGATTCCATTGGTTTTGTTTGTTGGAGTTAATCATCATATCCAACCGTTATTACTGGGTTGTGCACTGATTGCAGATGAATCGGTGCATACCTTTCTTTGGTTGATACAGACATGGCTCATGGCAGTGGGTGGACAACCTCCTCTAGTTTTACTTTCTGGTGAGAATAATGCTTTGCAAACAGCTATTGCTGAACTTCTCCCTGATACTCGCCATTATTTTTCCCTGTGGCATATATTTGAAAAAATCCCTAATCAGTTAGAATATATAAATATATGGCTTGATAATTTTGTTGAAAAGTTCAATAAATGCATCTATAGATCATGGACAGCAGAGCAGTTTGATAAGAGATGGTTGGAGTTGGTTGAAAAGTTTGAACTTCAAGATGACGAATGGTTAAGATCGATGTATGGTAATCGTATCCGCTGGGTGCCACTATTTATGAGAGGTGTGTCGTTTGCTGGGTTGTCCACCAGATCACGGTCTGAATGTTTGAACTCTTTCTTTGATAAGTATATCAATGCAGAATCTTCTTTGAGAGATTTTTTAGAACAATATAAACTTCTATTATGTGATAGGTATGAAGAGGAGGCCAAGGCAGAGTTTGATGCATGGCATGAAGCTCCTGACTTGAAGTCTCCATCTCCTTTTGAGAAGCAGATGTCCTGGGTTTATACACATGAAATTTTTAAGAGGTTTCAGGTAGAGGTTTTGGGAGCTGCTGCATGCCATTTAAAGAAGGAAAAAGAAGATGAAACTGGCATAACATATACTGTTAAAGACTTTGAGAATAATCAGGATTTCATTGTAGAATGGAATGAATCAAGGTCTGAGATCTGTTGTTTGTGCCGTATGTTTGAGCACCATGGTTACCTTTGTCGACATGCTATCGTTGTTCTGCAGATGTCTGGTGTTTTTAGCATCCCTTCTAAATATGTATTGCAACGCTGGACAAGTGCTGCATTAAGCAGGCATTCAATCAGTGGAAAGCTGGATGAGGTGCAGGCTAAAGTTCGTAGGTACAATGATCTTTGTCGGAGAGCCTTAATCTTGGCTGAAGAAGGTTCTCTGTCTATTGAGAGCTATAATGTTGCAGTATCTTCTATAAGAGATGGATTTCAGCAGTGTGACCATGTGAATGGGTCTCTTGAACAGGATTTGAGACCCAATTCTTGTTTAGATTATTCAACTAATTGCCATGAGGATGATAATCGAGGTATCCATTCAAGATTATGTGACGCTGAGCCAGATATAAGATTGATTGAGACAACTGCAGTTCCTGAGATTGGAAGTGGTGACGTCAATGTGAACAACACCAGAGAAAGGGTGAGTTTTATGAATACAACTTTTTAACACATTCACTGATACATGCCAACATTCTTAGTATCAATGTTTGATACAGTTTGTAAAAGACAACTAATCTCGATTTCTGATAGGGTGATTCATGCATTTTCCATCAGGATCCACTGGACCAAAATATTGCAGCAGTTGGACCTGAACATGGCTTTACTCAAGTGGTATGTCAGATTTCTGCTCAAAATGTATCTTCTTGAAATTTCTCTCTTCAATCCTGATGCGTTTAAATAGGCAAGCGTATCAAGTTGTCGTTCTAAACCCATCTCATCAAATCTGTATGCTTGTGCATGACAGGAAACTCCAAATACAAGGCCTGCTCATTTGCACAATATGTTTCCCGTACCCTTTAATAATGGAATGCCAAATATGTACCAAGGGGCAGCACCAGGGCAGTTTCATCATGGACCATGGCAAGAAAAACACCTTTAACATTAGCTATTGAATGGAAAACAACACTGATTTCTGACATGAGCTGAAGGATGTAAAGCATCCTGATCTGGCTTCCATCTTCGTTTCGTAGTTCTGACCAATATTTAACCTTCAGAAAAGTTCAGGTATTACTAACTTAAGTAGGATGTCTATACAACGTAAATCAAACTTTGTCCTCTCCGCAATTCATGTATAGTAACTTGACTGACTTCTTGTGCAACAGTGTTTTATGTAGGAGTAGGCAGGATGAGCTAGGTCAAATATCTACAGATTTATACGGATAAGTGTATAATAAATGATTATGTTAGCAATCAAAATTTTATTGCTAGTAATTCTGCCATTTTCTGTTTCCTTGGTTGATATTCATGATAGAGGTTGTATTAGCTTTATCACTTATATGTATTGTTGTCGTATGCTTAATGCTATGGGAGAATCATGGGATACGGAGTTACAGACCAATAATTTGCACAACTGGTTCCAAAATTTGGCTCTCTCTCTCTCTCTTATTGCATAATAAAACTACGTATATATAGTAGTTTCAAACGAAGGAAGGTAGTACACTTGTTTGATTTGAACCATGCATAAGCTGTAAGAGTAGGCATGTTTGGCTGGGCCAAAGGGCCATATGTATACTCAATGTGACCAAGAATTCCCTCAAACAACAATCATCTCCGTAAACAATAGATAGAATCACCAGATTGAATCTAGCGGAATCGACAATGATATGCTATCCAATGTTATTAGTATTGTTCTATATATCTGCTTACATTTGAAAAATAATTAAACAACTCATAATTAAAGATTCACAATAATTTCCCCAAATTATTTCTATTATAGTTGCCTTTTTTCATCATCTATGTGGGGGTGTATGTTTCATGTTTGTACTCTATGCTCAACTTTATTCCTTTAAACAAAAATGTGAACTAGTTTAATATTCAAAATAGTATACGTGAATATTGAGTTTATTTAGAGGTAGTATTTCGTGCAAAGTTTAGTGTTGTTAATTAAAAGTAAGTTGTCTTCGTTAACATGATTAGACCCTAATAGTTTTCACTGGAACACTTGTTATTCCAGCCTGCATATTTGAACCATTCTATCTAAAACATTTGATGTTCAAAATCTTAGTTAGTTGTCATTGAGAGACCTAATATTCCAACACTAACTACAAATTTGTATGACTTTAATGACGCATGATATTAGCAAGAATAACAAGTTTAGAATCTAGACTTATCTTGGACTTGGAGCATGAAGTAAGAATGTGTCATAGAAATTGATACACAAATAAGAATATTAGATTTGCCACATTAATTTCCTAAATTGTTGGTTAAGATTAGACCTTTTAGCCTGTAATCAAGGTAGTTGGCTAATTTCCAACAAAAGAAAATATGTTAATGTAAAAAAAAAAAAAAAAAAAAGAAAGAAAAAAAAGGTTGCTATCTTTTACTTTTTTTATTCACAATATATTTATTTTATAAAATTTCTAACCCTTAATATAAACTTAAACTAATGTCTAATATTTCTCACGCCAACTATTTTTTTTTTTTTTTAGTTTTTTCTCCTCTATCAATTCCGACAATATTTAGTGGTGGATCCCGCTTATTTGACTCTTTCTTTCAAATTCTCACTAAATTTTTTTAACCTTACTTTCCTCAATTTTTCTCCCTTAGCTTGTTTAACTCATACATACACGTTAATTTGAATTTTGAAGGCTTGTTTTCATCATACATTTTCTGACTCTTTATTGCTCATAAAAGCGATGAGAATAGGCTACAAGGTAAAGCTAGTAATCTCTGATCTGATACAACACTAGCTATAAAGCCTATAATCTATACGAATTCATAGGAAATTAGTAATAAGAGAAACTTGGGATGGATTAATAAGCGTAAAAATAATCTAACTATTAAGTATTAACATTATTCATTTAATATATTTGGATACAAGCATCAACGCAAAAGTAACATGTATATGTACCCTATTTAATTGGTCGATTTGCTAACTCTTGTATAAACCTAGTTGAAGCATAAAACTTTATTAAGTAATTGTGTGTTTTTGTACGTGTAGCTAGGAGAGCTTTTAAGTGTAGAAAAAACACTACACGAGATCACTTATTATGTTACAAATGGTTCAAAATCATTTGATAATAAAATAGCGTGTTTAAGTAACAAAGTTGTTTTTCACTAAGGTGATAGTACCTAAGTACGTATATGGGAATTAATGGAAGTTTGGGAGCTTAAACGTGAGATAGGGATAGAAATCTAATAATTATAGAAATATTGCCAAGTCCATTACTAGAATACTAGGAGAGAGATCAGATGGGAATAAGTTTATAATAAAAAATATTAAATTATCCAAACACCATACATATATGTACACCTTCATCTCTTCTCTACATTAACAATATTTGTTATGTATTTAGAATGTTAAAATTCAAGTATTTTCACTTATTTTATGTCACTTTCTCTTCGATTTTCTGAAATCTCAACCCAGTTTATATATATATATACAATTAAATGTAAATGATGACTTAACCCGTGATAGTCGGAATATCTTCTACTATGGGATGGCGGTCCATCATTTTTTTCAAATTAACAAATAGGGATATGATTAGAAATTTCAATAATTCCTCTACTAATTTTCTCACAATACAAAACAAACACCCCTATGTGACGAGTGTGTAGAAATGACTCAATGAGAGGATTTGCGCAAAAAGCATGTAAAGATCAATAAAGTAAAAAGGTCCTTATGTATGTATTAGACAATCATTCTCTCGAGCTATTGCTATATTTAGAGTCCGATTACTCTGAATTAAGAGTTGTTGGAGACTCCATTTTGGACTTTTTTCAACAACTCCTCGGGTACCTTTCTTTTGTAACAAGTATATGTTGCTAGATTGCCTTTAGTGAAACACTATTTCATTCTTTCTTTATCTCCTAAAAGTGGGATTGTGCGTGGGATGGACTTTTTTTTTTTTTTTTGTGTGTGTGTGTGTGTGGGAGTGTGACTGTGTGTTGGAGGGGTAATTAAAGGATAATCAGATGTAGAAATTTTAATTATAAATAATGTTATTAATGACATCATCATTAGCATACATGTAAATGAAGTATAGATTAATTACAAATGCTAATGATAAATCAATTAACGAGGTTTTGACATCAAATGAAATCCTGTGTACACACGTTATTTAGTCTATTTTTTAAGATTAGGTTTACTTTGTATGCTTTAGTCTGTAATTTGGTTTGGATTATAATAACATACAATTGTGTTTTGTTGGTTTGGTTTGGTTTGAGTATTCTCATACTGTACCAACTCAGATCACAAACACCCCCTACTATTCTATTAGTTTGTATACTTAGTTCTAGATGCAATTTAATTTGGAATAGAAAAGCATACAATTGTGTTATCGCGGTTTGGTTTGAGTATTCTCATACCGTACTAAATTCGACAGCAAACACCCATACTTTTAGCCAAGAAAATGTTAGTCAATCGATTGTGGCCATACATGTATCCTTAGTTCATTCGTTCACACTAGATTTTCAACATTATCATGAGATTGACACTCAATTTTGCTAAAATAGATCCTTCCACATTATATTACTTATGCATCATATCATGATGAAAATCAACATGTTTGTCACATATTCTCTTACTTTTAACAATTGACTTGATTTTCAAGTCAACCAAATGAAACTAAATTGACGTACTTGATTTAAAATTTTAGTGGCTCAGTGCAAACTTTTCCGATTTTTTTTTTCTTGCCGTATATTTAAATGCAATTGGTGAGACGTGATAATTTTTTCTTGAAAATAAGGTTGTGGGAAGGAAGAAAACAAAAAAAAATAAATTAAACGTGTTTAAAGGGTTTACTTAAATCTTTGCAATTTTGACTTACCCCTTTATAAATCTTCTGGAAAAGGGTTTTGAATTGGGACTTTGGGAGCATAATAGAGCATTACTCCGTAGTACTTAGTAATCATTACATGATTTATTTCCTTCAACCTTACAGTTGAAAATTAAACCCTCAATTTCCAAAATTGAAATGTTCTTAGTTGGAAGTTTTATTAGTTGGACAGTTGAAATTTAAACCCATCCACATTCTTCAAGAATCAAAATGCTCATAATTTTTAGGAAAAATGAAAATAAATAATCTCACCTTTACGTGATCTTACAATAACAATCCCACCTTTTGATTTTTACGAGGCAATCTCATCTTTGTATGTCATCTTCTTTTTAAAGAACCTTTTTACCTAGCTACAACCTATTAAAAAGTTTTTTATAATTTTTTTAAAGCCACGTATCGCTCAATAATTGGCCAAAATAAAAAAGTTAAACAAAAATTGGTAAAAAAAATTAAAAAGAAAAAAAAAATCCCACCGGCCACTATGATTACCCTAGCCCCATCAAAAATCGGTCGGCCGCCACCCTAAACACCTGAAAACGGCAGTCTAAACCCCCACATACCAAAAACCACTTCGCCGACCAAAAGTCACCCCCGAAATCACCTCCTGACCTAAATCCCACCCCCGAAACCACCATAACCACCACAGTATCGACCCTGAAAACGCCACCCAGGCGCTGAAAACCACCTCTAACCGCCAAAAATCCCCAAAACTTCCACCACCATTCCCGAAAAACCCCACCCAACCTCCCTAACCGAAAATCCCCATCTCAATCAGCCCCAAAAACCCCCCTTAAACACCCTAAAACTCGACCCTAGCCGCGAAAACTCCATCGTTTCCCTAATGGATGGGTGCCGGCCGGCCATTTTCGGTGGTTAAGGAGAGCGGTCGGCCGATTTTTGGTGGTGGCTGGGGTAGGGGTTAGGGTTTCACGGTGGGACTATGGGAGGTTGGTGGCTGTTTTTTTTTTCTCCTGTATGTTTGTTTTTTATTATTAAAAAAGATTAAATGAACCTATTAAAATTTGACACCTGACATATAACCTACAAAAATTGGTCACCAACAGGTCAAGGTTCATTAAAAGAAGATGACATATAAAGGTGGGATTGCCTCATAATAATCAAAAGGTGGGATTGTTATTGTCAGACCACACAAAGGTAAGATTATTTATTTCCATTTTCCTAATTTTTATTATCTGGATTTTTTTTTTAAAGGCAAAAGCCAACAAACTTCCCGGGGGCGTTGGATAAGATAACTAAAAGTAGAAATATTAACTTGAAATAAACATTAATTACACCGATTGACGCGTGATTTTGTCATGCATTTCCAAATTAATACCATTTTAGAAACTATTTTAAAGGGTTATTTAACGCCCCCAGGAACGTTCGTTAGCAAAATCCTTTTTAAAATTATTATTTCAATTACGATGGCTAATTTCAAAGGCTAAATGCCTAAATGGGAATTGTTTATGTTAGATACACTTTATTGGAGCTATAATATGAGAAGTTGATAATATGTGGATGTAGTACTACTATATGAGCTATAATATAGTAGTACTACATCTGAGCATTGTTGAGTTTAATTTGGTTTTGTAATTAAGTCTCCTTTATAAGGTGAAGTTATGAATGGTTTTGAGTTTTTTACTTTTATTTTTATAAATATGCAACCTTTGTAATTCCATATAACTTTTAATTGATGAATGTATCTTAATTTTAAAAATCAAAATGTTGATATACATACATTTACAAGTGAAAGAAACTCTAGATTAGATAATTTGCTCAAATTAATTAAATACAGTACTTCGTAAGAAAAATTTAATTGTCATATATAACTTGAGAAAGACTTGATGGAAAACAGGTCTAATTTGATGAGGTCATATAGAATGTTGGTCTTCAATTTTGTCATCCAAAAGTGTTAATATATGAAGATTAGGATGCCTAATGATTAGGGTGAAATGATTAAACTAATGCACGCTAATGAAGAAAATATGGATAAATCTAACCAATCACGGATTTTAATGTAAGATACAAAAGCTAGGGTTTCAATTCACAATAGTGAGTATTCAATTATTTTGAATGACCAACGACTATGGAATATGTAGAAATTGCAATTAAAAAATTTCACACATATTTAACATGAACAGTGATAAAAAGTTTTCAAGAAACTAGAAGTTTTCATTGAAAGATACAAGATACAAACCATAATGTTACATCAATTTTCGTTGGCGCTATCTAGGATTAATACAAAGTAATGATGAAGCTGATAAATTTTCTCTATTGGAGGAAAATTTTAGCAAAATTAGGCATCATGACCCTAATTTCAATGATCTATTATCCTAAGTTAGGAGAAAATTCTTCAGCTTCATCACTTTGTATTGATCCCTAACTTATTCTAAGCAACAAGCTATGAAACCATTAATAAACTTCAATTCTAACAATACAAGTAAATGTAGTACTACTATTCTTGCTTGTCCATTTAGCATTTGCTCCAAAACAAACCTCTCCTCATTCTTGTGAAATTTTTTGTTGTAGAGCACAAGCTTTGATAAGCTTAAAAACCCGCATCATGAGCCTAAAAAATGAAGCCATCTTCAAATATAAATCGATGAAACATTAATTTTTGGTTAATATATATATATATGCCCGCACTAATAACTAGCTAGCTCCTCATCTTCAGAGGAGCCAGTAGTGATGCATTCTTTCTCTTCCTCGAACCCTTCAAGGGATGGGTGAGGGGAATGTCCCTTACCAAAAGATCTTATATGGTCTTTGAGAGATCTCTTGTGCTTGAAATCGGAGCCACAAGTACAATACCAAAGTTTGCCACAATTTTTCTCATGAGTTCTCCAATCACCTTTAACCGCGAATGCTTTGCTACACTTCCTACACATGAAACCTTTGATGCCATGTTTTCTCTTGAAATGAGTTTGGAGAGTCCTAAAATCCTTCAAAGGTTTTGCTCTAGGGTGGTTGATGTTGTTCTTGCACCCTTGCGCACAACAGTAACATGGTAGCCTTAGCATTGCTGCTGGTTGTGTCCCTCTTAGTGATTCTGGTCCCTTTCTATACTCCGAACCATGTCCCCACATATGCATCTTTATTAACAACACAAAGAGATGAACAAAATTATTTCTTTACTATAGAGATTAAATCTTATTTATAAAATCAGGTTTTTAAATTTAATAATTGTTTGAAACATAAAAACTAAAGAAATATAAAGATAAATATACTCGTATATGCTTATGTATGTATTGATCATATCATACATACTTAATGTTAAAACATTGGTTATAATTAATGTTAAATTTGAACAACGGAATTAATGATATGAAGTAATTATTTATTTTTCTTAGGTAATATAAAAGCGTGTCCTATTAAATCAGAACTTCTCACATATCGTCAACCCAAGTAGTTAAGTAAAAATCGGCTAGAAAATAGAGTAACATTTCATATAGCGGCTGGAAAATAGATTTATTTGTGCTACTAGAGTAATAATGCTTATCAAAGTATGTTAAAAAGAAAACAAGTACTATATGCAATAATGCAAACTCATGAAGAGATTTGATCAATTATTCCTATATATGTAAATTCATATGAAATAATATACGTGAAAGCAACTATATATACATACTAGAAAGTTTAGTGAGAACTTGTTGACATATTTAAGTAGTACCTAGGGATATATTCTTACTCTACCCTCTTGTTAGTCATTTGATATTAATAATTCAATTCAGCTAACATCATTTTCATATTTCGGAGATATATGTGCAGTGTCTTGTAATTATTATAACTCACTTTATTTTGTGGCTGGCTGTTATTTTTATGTAAATGATTATCTATCAGATATGATATTTATAAAAAAAAAAAAAAAAAAAAAAGCAAATTATGCACCAAATAAGAAGACTTTAATTTGATAATTAATTATACCTAATACCAATATCATCTAAAGAAAAGCAATCTGATTAACATAATTTCAACGCATGATGAGAACACAAAACCTAACTAATTTGTGGAAAACTACTTATTTTTTCTTCAATTTTTGTCTCATCTCTTTTAAGCCATATAAAAATTCAAATATGACACAAATTAAGTTGCACCACGTACAACTAAAAAAGGATGTATAGTTCTCAACAAAAAAGAAAAGGGTGCACAGTTATTAATTTCACTTTTATTTTTTAAGGCTTTGATGTATTCTAAATCAGTACTATAATGAAAACTATGTTTATATTCCAATTTGTTATCAGTGGCCAAAGATTTAAAAAAAATGCTAATAACAATTAGCTAAAGCTAATGACCCCCTAGGGGGTCATTGGAAAAGATGAGTAAAAGTAAATTTTAAATAAAAATAAATATTAATAATTATACCGATCGACACATGTTTTTGACATACATTTTCAAATTAATATCATTAAGGAAATATTTTAAATTATTTTCTAATACCCAAGGAGCGCTCATTAGCAAGATATATATCAATTAACATATTTATTACAACCTTCATAATTATTATACGGAGTAAGTGTATAAATTGTTAAAGGATGGAGAGATAGCAAAACTAACTGTTGATGTAAAAAAGAAAAAAGTTACAATACATTTAATCAACCCTTAAAGTTGCACTGTGTATAGACATCAAATACTGTTTGAAATTAATATTAATTTAGGATTGCACAAAAAAAAAAATACATGAGCGGGTATGAATATATTATACTTAACATTTTATAATCAGACTTAGCCCCTTCGATTGTGCTTCTATGTAATCCTAAAAACTGCGAACTGAGTATATCATTTCATAAAAGGAATAAAAAGAAAAAAAAACAAAGGACATATATATAATCAAATGAATGAAAATCTTGATAAACAAACCTGCATGTTATTGTAGCGGTTGAAAGTCTTGTTACAAATGGAGCAAGAAAATTGCATGGGTCCGATCAAGATTTGAGCTGGGGTTGGGATCCAAAACCTACTCTCAGTGTTAAATGATGATGAATAATCATGATCATTATTCATGCTAATTTTCTCTTTATGATCATCATTAATCATCATCATCATCATCATACTTTTATCTTCCTCAAATTTCAAATTCTTACCCTCAACCACTTCATAATCATCATCATTAGACAATTCTTCATGATCATTATTATTTGTTGTAATAACACTACTATTATTATTATTACTATTAGGCAACCCAATGTGCAAGGCAACTGTAACCTTCTCCTCATCATCATAATGACCTTCCTCTTCTTCCTTCACGGCCTTTGCCTCACTAAGCCTACTCAAGAGGGGCAAAGTCATGTCTCGATCGAGATCGATATGGCCTTCATCTTCTTCAACTTGGTGTTGTTTGTAGAACAAAGGCAATTTCATCATCAACATCATGGGGTTAGTCATGAGCTTGTTATTATAATGAGTTTTTTGTTGAATTGTGGAAGAAGAAGAGAAAGATGAGATAGTTGTTGGTGAAGGCTTAAGCCATTCAATGAAGTTTGGAGGAGATTGAAAGTACAAATCCATGTGATTTACATGGTAGAAGCATAAGCTCCTTAATTATTAATTTGTATCTTAGATCTCCACACTTAGGTAGGTATATATGGGGAGGCATAAATTCACCTTTTTATGTGGGAAAAGGGATTTTATTAATTGATGTCACTAATTATTTATGCCAATGGGAAGTTTTTTTCTTTTCTTATTTTAGGTTTATTATATTTAATCACTTTTTTTCTTAAGAGTTTTCCTCTCTTTTTTCTACCTTGAAGAGAGGGATATTAGTGGTGGGGTTAAGGATAATGACATGCAAAATCAAAGCTTTGGCTTGATGAAGAGAATCCTAGAACAAGCTGACCTTTTGCTACGCAATTTTTTATTTTTTTTTATTTTTTTTTTTTATAAAAAATTTTGTTGTTGGCCAAAATCCATACATATACAATATCACATGCAATCTGTATACACATTAAGAATGTCTTTATTTCAAGAGTTTGATTGATTATTCGTTCGAAAACAGTACAATAGATAATCAGGTTGATAGTGTAATTTGATTCGAATTTGACAACTAAACTGATCAGGGTAGTTGACGAATTGGATTTTTTTTAGAGATGATTTATTTGATTATAGAAAAAAAAAATGGTGCATGTGTAATATCTAAAATAAAGTTTTTTGGCAGTGGACAAACTAAAATTAATATTTTGAAATTATTGTAGACAAAATAGGAAACAAAGGTGGTCTAGTCAATACCTGAAAGGATGTAGTATCAACCTCAAAAATATTCTATTTATTATTACAAAAATAAAATAATTAAAAAGGCAAATATATCAGCGTGCGAACAATATAAAATTTCAATAGTTTGTATTATATTATAAAATTGCATGATGAAGATCAGGATTCTCCATATCAGAGAAAGGAAGAGGTGCACCTAGAAGCTAAGTTATGGATATCCATTCAATATTAGCAGCTAGATTAATAAGCATTAAATGACAAATTAGTCTTCTAATAGACTTATCCTTAAAGACCTTAATTATGTGACCAGAATAATTTAACTTAAATGTCGTTATGCAAATGTTTGTTGGAGAAAATTTTAATTTGTTTTGGAAATCCTGGTACATTTTCACATGAACCACATTCGATGTATGATTAAATATAAAAAGCATATTATATACAAAGTATTCATATAATATGAATACATTTATAGGTTGTTATGCATTATATTCAGTAACAGTAGAGCAGTAAGTAAATTATCATTTTATTTCATGCATATACTCCGTACTATACTCCATATTTCTCAACTGAATACTACAGAGTACTTAATTACTCTATTTCGTAAGGTACTTTTTTTTCCCCAGGATTATTAGTAAGTTATCTTTAATGATCTTCTAATAGATGTATCATGACTCTCATCTATAGTATACTCCTTGAGTCCTTATAATATTATCAAACGCTAAATTTAATTGTCACATAATTAATATGTAGTATATACGTTCTAATATAATTTGTACGAGTATATATTACACTGTTGCATGATTCATGTAAAGATTTAATATAGGGGTAATATTATCATTTTACCTCAAACCAATATTCAATTTTTATAAAGTAATTTAATACCATCGAATTCAGATTGTGTTTCAAATTAAAATAAAATTGATTTCTTAAATCTAGGCCATTATTGTTTATTTCAGGATTCCACCGTACGTAAAAATATTACATGCAAAAAAACTGTTATTATTATATTTAGACTCATAACCTTGTACTACTAAAAGTGGCCATTAAGGTTTGTCTCAGCATACCTAAACATGAATGATTATTGATGATGATTAAGGTTTGATATGAGTACAAGGGTAAATTATCTGACAACAAAAAAAAAAAAAAAAATCAACAAAGGTTGGAAATTGGATGACTGAAATAGAAAGGAGGAGCAAAATACAAAATATCTTAGTATCGCATTGATGTTAGCTATTACTCAATACTCAAGATAGATTATGCATGTTTTGTATTAATTGTATACACCATAACCCATTCCTTGTTTAATCCGTTCTCAGTGCAAGTTTTTGTCCATTAATATGTCATATTCATTACTTGCAACATTATGATTAATAAAAAAATGGATCAAAATAACTAATGACTATTCGACAATCGACACCACGATACTTTTATTTAGATTTATGCTGTGTATGTATTTTAACGTGTGTATAGAGAGCCTTAATTAAGGCAACAACTTCGACATATTTGATAAAAAAATTTAGGTAATGCTTCAAAACTTCTAACTAAGTCATCTTTGAGACCATTAAATTACTTCAATAATCCTTATCCTTTAACTAGTCTCTATCACGAGCAAGATTGCGAAAATATTCATGAGAACAAGAATAAAAGTGAAACTCCATTATTAAATCATGTACAATTTGTTTCTCAAAAAAAAAAAAATAGAATAAAGATAATCATGTACAATTTGTAAAAAGACCTAAAGGCTTACAAAACGAATCGACTATATCAAGCCTTGTGAATCTTTACGGTGTTTATCAAAAAAGGAGCAATGAAGAGATTACCGACAGGATATCAATTGGCGGATTTTCAGGGTATAAAAACAAATTTTTCAACTCTTTTTTTGCCTCCTTTTTATTTCCCTTTAACAATTTGGAAATTTCCTTTTGTAAAATTGCATTTTTATGATAACTATTTTTGATTCTCCTCCAACCTAAAGCCCCCACCATGGCACCACCCCACTTTGTTATTACTCTTTTTTACTTATCTTATTTTTTCAAATTTTCATATTGTATTTTAAATTATGGGTTTATTTTCTTTTTTTTTGGTAATAATTGATTCTTGTAACAAAAAGTAGCATTACTTGAAATGCTCTTGGCTACAAACAAGAAATTATACGGATATTTCCAATCGATTTGGGCGGTGGTTGAGTATAATTCATGTTTTAAATAAGAAATTAAAAAAATTTATGTTTTATAGAATACTTTGCCTATTAATTAGAGCTAACTAGACTTTGACTAATTTGAATGTGAGACAGATAGATTAATTAGAATTTTCCTATTTTATTTGAAAGAAAAACACTCTTAACAAATGTTGATACGTTGTTAGGGTCCTCACATTGCTTTAAAGTCCTATACCTCAAATTAAATAGTTATACCGAAAGATCTCGTATTTGTTTTTTTTTTGGTGTTTAGAGAGCCCTTGAGTGAGGATCGATTTCAAGATCTCCTGAAACCGGGAGGGAAATTCTAACCACTTGAGCTATATTTGTTGATTACTATACCCAATCAGTAAATTCTAGGCTAATTTTCCTTTCTGTGCGGAGTGCATCACATATTCACATATGGCGTAGTAATAAGTATCCTTTTTTTTTTTTTTAACCTTTTATGTATGATTGACAAGTTACCTAACTCCAACGTTAAAGTTAAAACTACTTCCATCATACATGCTAGATATTATAGGAGAACCCTAAAGTAAACAAGGTAACCTACCTTAAAGTTGCGCCCAATTATTGTATAAAGTATAATATGAATGCACTCTTTTTATGACACTTTTTTGAAAAAAAATTAAAAACAAAAGTCCTAAAGGATATTATCTTTCATCAATTAAAACTATACAACATCTATAATTGACAATCAACAATAATGTAAACATATTTAACAAAATCAAACAAGAATTAACTGGAGAAGGGCTAAGAATCCAAATACATAGATATAACAATTCGGCACATTCTCGATTTATAGTCTCATACAACTTTTCTGTCGTCGCATCATAAATTTGTGAAAAAGAATATTCTTGTGCTGATTTCGTAACCCAAATCCGAGCAATACTCAATCTTAGCCTCGCACAACTGGAGACTAAATTAAGCGCAAATAAAACCTTGTCTTTCGAAAGAGTACGAAAAACTTTGTCTTTCGAAGGAGATCGGAAAAACCTTGTCTTTCAAAAGAGATAAACCCTTTCTTTCGAGGGAGACATTATTATAACCTAGAAAATAGAAAAACGTAAAATAAACAAAATTGGGGCTTTCCACCGGTGAAATTCGATGGAAGCCCCTTCAAAATTGACAATAAAGACTAGAGTTTTTGAAGAGAGAGGAGAGAAAAAGGAGGCTTACTTTAATGACACTTTTAAACAAATACAGTATCTCTTTTTCTACTTTCAATTATTCATTACAGTCATCGTCATATTCTTAGGCTAAATTTACGTAAATTAAATTAAATTGCTCTAATTTTTAGTTATGCTACATCCTAGCTTCATGATGAAATTGTTAAGCATAGTAAATAATTGACTAAAACAAGTTAGTTGTTGTTTTTGGAAACAGACTTCTTTTAAGCGTGTTAGGGTATTTTGGGTATATCAAGATGTCCTATAATCTATGTTCAATTGTCCAAAAGTCTTTTAGCTCCGCTTTGTAAGGGTTATCCGAGAGCTCCACCTTGATGTCTGAGGGCTCGGCCTGCAAGAAAGAGAAGGTTAGCTGTCCCGGGGGTGTGACCCGGGGAAGCCCCTGCAATGCTTAAGTCAGCGAGTCGTACTTTAAAAAAGAGAAAGAATAGAGAGAGAGAGAGAGAGTACTTTCTAGAGAGAGAAAGTAAAGAGAGAAGGAGAGGGAATCAGAAAAAAAAAAAAAAAAAAGTTACCATCATTAATCATTTGAGAGCTATTTATAGATGTACTTTCAGGTGGCAAAGCTGTACTTAGTTGGACAGATTAGGAACAAATCCGTACTTTGTAATGATTAATGGTGGGTTGGATCATGGAGGGGTATTTTCGTCATTTTAGGTATCTTGGGCTTAGGACATGGACTAGGCCCAAACAGTTGTATTTTCTCCCTCATAGTCCCTTGTAAGGCCCTGTTTACTTCACCTTTAAAAAAATAATATTAATTAAAAAAAATTCAGTTAAGTAAAAATAATTTCAGTTCAGTAAAAAATAAGTTCATTTCAATAAAAATAATTTTAGTTCAGTAAAAATAAGCTCAGTTCAATAAATTTCAATAACTTTAAAGAATAAATATAACAGAAAATCAGTAAAAATTATTTCAGTTTAGTAAAATTAATTTCAGTTCAGTAAAAATAATTTCAGTTCAGTAAAAATAATTTCAGTTCAGTAAAAATAATTTAATAAGTTCAGCAAAAATAATTTCAGTTCAATAAAAATAATTTCAGTTCAATAAAAATAATTTTAGTTCCGCAAAAATAAGGTGAAGTGAACGGGGCCTAAGAGAATTTTTTTTTTACGAGTCGGAGTGTATTGTATCCAAAACTAATACTCCGTATTTGTATTTTTCTTTTACACATAACGCATTCATAATCTGATCTCAAAAATATAAGTGCGGTTGTATTGAACCTTTTACATTTTTTTTTTTTTTTTTTTGACAAAGATCACTACAAACAAACAAAAAGCATATAACTAAAAAGACCAACAAAAGAAATGTCGTTGTCGAGCACGCACAGCCAGCCAATGCACAGGAATAACCCATTC